AAGATGGAGGAAGGGTCACGACCCAAGGACTACAGGCAGCTGCAGAAACTGGGAAAGGCAAAAGAATGGATTTGCTCCCGGAGCCTCGAGAAAGAATACAGCCCTCCCAGCACCTTGACTTGAGCCCCGTGAAATCCCTGTCAGACATCTGGTCTCCAGAACTGTGATGGTAATAAATACATGTTGTTTTAAGCCATTAAGGTTGCAGTGACTTGTTACATCAGCAATAGGAAACTAACACACGGGGCAGCTTCCTGGAGCCTGCTATTGGGCAACGGGATTTCACGGCCCTCCTCCTACTGTACTCTTAGCAGTACTGCGTTAGACCCACAGGGGATAATCCTGTGGTTTCCAGAGACCCAGTCCAGCTCCACATGTAGACAAAGTCTGGGGACTTACCTGCCTCTTTCTGCCTGGACCCACTGCGGCATGTGAAACTCTCACTGCCCTGAGCGTCTCAAGGGCTCCACTCTTAGGTCCACTTGTTGTTTCAAAATGGAGATCTTGAGTCTCCTCTACCTAAAGCCTCTTGATGCTATCGCATCAAGACCCAGCATGGAGCAGGCCCTGCCCACCCCTCCAGCCTCATCTTCCTCCGTCCAGCCCATGAGCCATGCTGAGTGTGTCACAGGGCCTTTGCACGTGCTGTTTCCTCTTCTTCCAAGTGCTTTTTCTCGCCCTCTTTACTGGGTCAGCTCCTCTTTATGCTCAGATCTCAACTCGATGGTCGCTTTCCTCCGAGGTCCCTTCATGATGGTTCCTCTCCCTCTCTTCTGCCTTCTCCTGACCACTGATACTTGTCCTTCAGAGAACTTACTATGAGTGTGATTATGATGATCTGTGTGATGAATTCAGTAAGGCCCAAGCCTTCTCTATAATGCCAGCTCCACTCAGGCAGGGACTCACCTGTTTTGCTCCCTCTTGGGTCCTCATTGTCTGCTTGGCACATGGCAAGCGCTCCATAAATATCTGAAAGAATGAGTAGCCCATCTGCTTCCATTTGGAGAGCAAGGTCAGACCAAGTTGGGAATCCACTTCCCGCCACCTCCAGGGCTGGTCCGCTGGGACCCAGAAGAGGAGACGTAGCCTTCTGGTGCTTCTGGAAGTGTCCTGGGAAATGCGAGAAGTCACAGAGTAAGCAGCAGCTCCACTTAAGCGCCCAGCCTGGTGACGGATGGGTTTCCTGGACGCAGGGCATGAGTGGTAGTCGTAAAGTTAATCGGGCATGTAAAGACATAACTAGAGAGTGACAGGCACGTACGGTGTCCAGCTAATTGGGCTCTTAATGTGGAGGCATTAGACAGGCAAACAGAACAGACCGCCGACGCAGAGAGGGCCTTCTCTTTGACATGGAGGGACCTTCTGTTTCAAGACGCCATGGGAAGTCGTGGCATTTCAGCCTCAGGATCTGAGACTCCCTGACTGGTGCCCGTGGGAGGAAACTTGAGCTTCACCTCCTCTAACCCCCTCACAGTAAAGTCTGGGAAAAGGGCTCCCAGAGAACAGAGGCTTTTTAAGGTCATTGACTGGAGAGAGAGAAGGTAGGATTCAAACCACGTCTTTTAACCCTGCCTTCCTGGCTCTCTATCTTCAGAAATGCATTTTCTCTTCTAAAATAAAGGCAACACATGTTCGTGGTGGGAGGTTAAGGAAGGAAGCATATGGGGAGGCCAGCTAATCGGGTGCTGGAGGACGGAGGGAGACGGAGGCATTAAAGAAGCAAATTAAAAAAAAAAAAAAAGGAAATAAACGTTACTTATAATCCCACCACCCAGCGATTCTCACTGTGGGTATTTGGGTATGCATCCTTTCTGATTTCCTTTTTTTTTTTTTTTTTTGTCAAGTGTACATCATGAAATTCATTGCACGTGTTCCAAACCCCAGTTTGCACCCTGACTACAGTTCTACATCCTGGGTTTTGGGGTGGGGGTCTTTTTCCTCCTTTAACATAATAAGGAGGACATTCTCCCATGCGGTTTGCCCTCCTGCTCCCTTTCTTCCTTCAGTGCTTCTCCAGTGTGCCTAGGAATTCACCAGCATCAGAATCACAGAGGGAGCCGCTTTGAGACTCAGATTCCTAGACCCCGCCTCCATCCCACAGCATCACTGTCTGCATGCTGAGCTCTCTCCCCAGGTGATCCCCAGGCAAATCCAATTTAGAGAGCACCCCCCACCCCTTCACACCCCCATGCATGGCTCCCCGAAGAACTGCTCAGGGGGTTTCTGCAGACCCATAGCTGACAAGGTGGGAGGAGGGGCTCCATGCCTCCATATCCTTTTTGAACGCACAGAGGGTTGCCGGCATCCCTTGGGGTGCACACAGGGTGCTCCTGCCAAGACTGGTAAGAACACACATTCCTTCTGGGATAAAGAAGCCAAAATGTTTTATCACCAGGATAAAGACCCATCGGTGACCCGCGGTCTTCCATGATGTAATTTCGGTTTAGCTTCCTGCAAAGTTTCTGTGCTAAGTTTATGACCTTTGGCAGTGACAGCTGTCGGTGCTGAGGTCCTAGCACAGGGGGCTGCAGGGAGGGTATCCACACGAGTGGGCTGCAGGAAAGATCTTGGAGCAGAGAAGGAAGGTGGGATCGTCCCAGCCCTCGCGTGTTTCTGTCCTTATTGGTCTCTGCCGAATTCGTGAGTAACAAGGGTTCCTGAGCTGAGACCTCTGAATAATGATCTTAAATCTGTTGTTTTTCCATGCCATTTGCTGTACTGATAGGAACTAATGAGACTCTCCCCATATAAGACCTGTTCATGGGGCCTTTTGGCATTTAGGAGTGAACGGTGCAAGAAACAAGCATCTGGGTAGAGGCTTAAGAATGTGGGTTTAAACAGTGAGTGAGTCTGTGGCCTTGATTTTCCAAGGGAGGCAGGAAAGCCTCTGCGACTCCTGAGTAGAATGCACTGTGGTTTAGAATTGGGTCATTTGGTCTGGGCTGTCTTCCTGAGGCTTGACCTGAGGCAGGAAGCCAAAAGGGTTTCATGGAAAGCAGCGATGATTTCCTGACCCAGAGAACTAGATGCCCACCCTCGCTGAGCAGCCCCAGGCCAGTCTCTCACCCTCTCTGTGCTGGGGGCCCTGCCCTGCTAGAGTAAGAAGAACAAAATCTCACCATTTCCTGGCTAGGACAGTGGATAAAGGAAGAAATAGTAAAAGAGGAAAATGTGTACAAGGAAAGTGTCATCATGAATTCACCATGCCCTACCTCCCATCAGCTCGCCTCATTGTCTCATAACATTTGATAATTCTATGATATTGAAAGGCATCCTGAAGTTTATGTGCTCTGGACAGCTTTAGGCCGATTCTTTAAACTGTAGCTTTCCAAAGGAAATCTAATTCAACACTCTAAACACACAAAAGTGATAAATGCAGACATGCTGTGGATGAAGTAGCGTTTCTGGGCCCTCAGAATCACCCCGTCCCACCATTCCAGTGAGTGGCCCCTAAACTGCCTTTAAGGAACCCTGGGGTGCCGTAAAGCACAGTTTGACCACCGCCAATTCAGCCTGACACCTTCTGTTTTACAGATGAGGAATCAAGCCCAGAGAGGCAAAATCCAGGGCCAAACTTCTCAACCCTACATTGAGGGCTTTTCAGGAAAACAAAATGATGGGGCAGCTGTGGGGTGTCTCGTTCCAAGCTTGGGCAAGTGAGAGGCAGAGGGACGGAACTAGCCGGGGTAACTGGGTGTGTGTAACTTGGTGCTTACCAATGACTGAGGGTCTCCCTTGGTGTGGGGACTACAAGGGGGGTTGAGCAGAGTGTAGATCAGACTGTTGAAGAAGATGTCTGTGGCTCTGCCTGGAACAGAGTGGCTGGGTGGAATTACAGTTAAGAACAGGGACTCCAGACAGACTGTGTCTGGGTCTGGATCTCAGCTTTCTCCACCTCCCGCTGTGTGACTGGTGTAAATCACTTAACCTCTCAGTTTTCCCACTTGGAAAATAGGGACAAGAATAGTGCTCAGTGTAGTGTGCTGCTGGAGGGACTCATTAAGAAGATCCAGGGGAAGGGATTAGCTCTGCACCTGGCACATAGTAAGTGCTCAGTAAACACCAGCAACTGGTATTCTAGGAGGATGTTCTGCGACCACGGACTGGGGCTGGCGCCTGGTGACTGCCCTGCCTGTCATCCTATAGAAACAGTTTCTAAGGAGAGCACAGGGAAGGAGAGGGAGGGAAGAGGAGAAGGAGGAAGGAGAGGGTCGCTCTGGCTCTGCGCATCCAGCCTCCCGAAGCAGCTCTGTCCGATCTGGGTCACAGTGGAGGCTCTGGGGGCCTGCAGGCTGCTCTTGGCTCTTCCCGGGATGGAGCAGCTCTCTGATGAATGAAGCACAAAGGGAGAAGCTGCTATTTATAACACTGGGAGTCAGAGTGCTAGGAGGGGAGGGCAGGAGCGAGGAGGGCCTGTGGGGAGAGTCTGCAGCAGGTGGCTGCCAGGCAGGGCGGCCAGAGATCTTCTAGAGCCTGTGATTCCCAAATTGCCTCCCAGCAGTTCTCATGCCCATGGTGCCCACAGGTGGGACCCGGCCCATGGGGGAAGGGGGGACAGGGTCCAGCTGCATCCTGGGAAGGGGAGCAGGTGTGCTAGGGATGGGGAGAGAGAAGACCCATGATGACGGCAGCTGCAAGTAAACTTGGAGATGCCAATGAAGACATCCAAGTGAAGATGTCAGGGAGACAATTAGATAAACAGAGCTAGAGCTCAGAAGGCAGTTTCCCTGGAGGAGGTGACAGGAGACAGAAAGTCTAGATCAGGTGCTTAGCCCACAGTCAATAGATGAGATGGGCAATATGGGACATAGGTCTGCCACGGTCTGAACACATATCAGAATTTCATCTACGTGTGCCTTATTTTGGGGAAGGGTCCAGCAGTCACCATCAGATACTCAGGAACCCACGACTCAGAGAAGGGAGACCTCAGCTTGATACCGTGGGAGATGCCAGTGGTCCCTGGTCCTCTAGGGCCCTTCTGACTCTGCATCTGCTTCCAGGCGCCTGGTGGACCGTCTGGAGAACATGAGGAAGAATGTGGCCGGGGATGGGGTGAACCGCTGCATCCTGTGTGGAGAACAGTTGGGAATGCTGGGCTCCGCCTGTGTGGTGTGTGAGGACTGTAAGAAGGTACCGTCACCCTCCTCTCCCCTGCTTCCCCACTCATCTCATGCACGGGGCCAGCCCTGCACTCGAGCCAAGCCCTGGAGAGCCCTGGGTCCTGGGGATGGAACTTGGATCCTGAAGGGTGGTAGTTGCCAACATATGATTCCTTTGGAGGTGCTCCCATGCCTGACTATCTTCTAGGCAGCCCTGATTCTGGTTCCTGTCCTAGAAAATGCTCTGACTCTTCTGTCCCCTTGGACCTCAGCTCCATCCAGGGTGAACTAGGACTTGAGCTATGGTTAAGCCTCCAAGTGTCCTGGTTGTAGCTGAGCGAGTTATGTATCAGGCTCAAAAGCGTGCCGGGCAGGTGTCTACACCGTGTGTACATGGAAGGTTGGCCCAGCCTCCTTTTACCCTGGCTTAGAAAGCCCCTCTCTGGCCAAGTTAGAGCCATTGGGCTTCTTGAGCATTTGTCCTTGAAGGGGAGTCTTCTGTGCTCCCTCCACCCTGCACCTTCCCCTCAAGCTGTCGGCCCTTGACAGTTCCAGGACACGGATACACCTACCCTTGGTTCTGCCCGATTCCCAGGAGAGGGATTCGGGAGAGCACCTGAGCTGGGGACATCCATATTGTCACTTGGCATCTCCTGCTTGGGGTCCCCCTTAGCATTTAGAATGCAATACTGGGGAAAGTTTATCTAGGCTAAAACACTAACTGGCTGCAGTCAACGAGATAGCAAAAACTTTGTGACCTATTGGGTTTTCCTTTTTGACTGCCAGGCAACTCAGCCAAAATATAATATTCAAACCATCACACAGTCATAGCTTTTATAAGGATAACTTTCTTCTCCTCGGAGAGCTGAACCTGCAGCCATAGCCCAGGTTAGGTCCAATTCATGGGGAAAGAAAGAAGAACCAAATTAATAAACAAACAAATATATGGGCCTTTCAGCTGGGAAAATCAGGTCCATGATCTCCCCTGTGTGGACGCTGAAAACTTGGACCCCACAGGGACTCTTGGAGAACTCAAGAGAATTTACTCATCCAGTGCTGGAGAGTGACTCCAGTTCTTGTTGTTGGAAAGCAAAACTCAGACTGGAACTTGAATCCTAACTGGCCTTGGCCATGGGAAGGAGGTGTGAAAGAGAGAGTTCAAGCTTTTGACATCCATCAAGAGAGAATGGGGCTCAATTGCCACCCTTCCCAGTCCCTTCGCCCCGATCACTGGCAGCTCAGAGCCTGGCATGTCTGAGTGTGCCCCGGCCTATATTTTGTCCCCAGAATGTCTGCACCAAGTGCGGGGTGGAGACCTCCAATAACCGCCCGCATCCTGTGTGGTTATGCAAAATCTGCATGGAGCAGAGAGAGGTGAGTGCATTAGTCCCATCTGGCTTTGGGGACACGCTTCCGTGTTAGTCCAGCTCCCCCTTCCTCACTGTAACCAGGGGAACAGGGTGGCAGCCGTGGGCTGGGGAACCGGGTAAGGGATTGGTACAGAGGAGCCAGCTCAGTGGTGAACGCTGGCAGAAGAGTGATGTTTGAGTGAATTTCTTTTCTCCCCCTTCCGTTGACTTTTCTCTTCCTAGAAGTAGGGAGTGTACGCATTTAAGAGGTGGAAGGCTTGGAGTCTGCTTACTGTCCTTCCACCTTATAGCAGTTCCTCACCTTTCTGATATTCATCTTTCTTCATCAAGAAAATGGGCATACTTAGACCCTGCTACTGAGTGTTTGGGGGATAGTGTGTGAGTCAGATAGGAATTGTGACAGGCTCTGTACTGTGGGCAGGGAACAATGTATTTTTTAAAAAGATTTTATTTATTTATTTGACAGAGAGAAAGATCACAAGTAGGCAGAGAGGCAGGCAGAGAGAGACAGGGAAGCAGGCTCCCTGCTGAGCAGAGAGCCCGATGTGGGGCTCGATCCCAGGACCCTGAGATCATGACCTGAGTGGAAGGCAGAGGCTTTAACCCACTGAGCCCCCCAGGTGCCCCCTGCAGGGAGCAATGTTAAAAACTGGCGCTTGTGGAAGCAGGACTCTTAGTGCTTGGCTGCCATATCTTCACCCTGTCTTCCCCTAGGTGTGGAAGCGATCCGGAGCGTGGTTCTTCAAGGGCTTCCCCAAACAGGTCCTCCCACAGCCTATGCCCATAAAGAAGACCAAGCCCCAGCAACCCGTCAGTGAACCTGCTGCTCCTGAGCCGGTCACCCCTGAGCCCAAGCATGCGGCCCGGGCTCCGAGCCGAGGTAAGACAAAACAACTTCTCCTTTTAAGACCAAGGACACATCTTGGCTAACTGGTCTACCTGGAGGATGTCCTGACATCATGTCTTGTGTTTCCACCTACCTGGTGGACAGCCGGCCTTAGGGCTTGGGTTTAAGACACCTTTGTCCTCTGCGCAGCTCAGAGAAAGAACCCTTTTCGAGAAAGCAGCCCAGGAAACGAGTTGGAGCTTCCTTAAAAAGTTAAAGATAGGGCTATGCTACAATCCAGTAGTTGCACTACTGGGTATTAACCCAAAGAATACAAAAACACGAATTCAGAGGGGTACGCGCATCCCGATGTTTATAGCGACATTGATTACAGTAGCCAAGATAGGGAAGCAGCCTGTGTCCACCAATTGATGAATGAATAAAGAAGACCTGGTAGCCATAAATATAGAGATATACACAATGGAATATTACTCAGCCATAAAAAAAGAATGACATCATGCCGTTTACAACAACATGGATGGAGCTAGAGAGTATAATGCTAAGTCAGAGAAAGATGAACACCGTATGATTTCACTCACATGTGGAATTCAAGAAACCACAAGTGAGCAAAGGGAGGGAGAGAAACCAAGATATAGTCTCTTAACTGTAGAGAACACACTGATGGCTACCAGAGGGGAGCGGTGGGGGATGGGTGAAGGAAGTGATGGGGATGAAAGAGGGCACTTGTCATGATGAGCACAGGGTCTTGTGTCTAAGTGTTGAGTCACTATATTGTACATCTGGGATGATCTGCATAGTGAAGTGTAATACAGTGGCACTATCGTATCTTATAGTGCAATATGGTAACACTGTTGTAAAATGGTGAAATTAAAATAAAAACTTTTTTTTAAAGAGTATTTATTTATTTATTTATTTGACAGACAGAGATAGGCAGAGAGGCAGGCAGAGAGAGGAAAGGAAGCAGGCTTCCTGCTGAGCAGAGGTCCTGATGTGGGGCTCGATCCCAGGACCCCGGGATCATGACCTGAGCTGAAGGCAGAGGCTTTAACCCATGGAGCCACCCAGGCGCCCCTAAAATAAAAATTTTTTAAAAGGAGAGGGTCACGCAGGGAACTCTCCAGCAATGTCAGGCGGCCAACAGCTTTTGTTGTCATCTCTGATGGAGTATTTAGAGATACCACAGAGGTGGAAATTAAAATTAGAAACTGAGAGACTCCCATCATCGTGGTACACACTGGAGCCTGAGTGGGACTTGCTGGGAAGGGCTTCCTTGTCCCTGCGACTCCTGTCAACCGTCAGCGGAGCATCTGAAATTGTACTAATTAAAAGCGAAAGATGAATAAAGGGGAAATTACTAAAAGGAAATTACCATGGCTATAGATATTATCATCCTTATCCAAGTAATATTATTAACTAGTAAAATGAATGATAAAAGGGAGAGGCAAAAAAGTAAAAAAGAAGAAAAAAAGCAACTCCAATACGAACATGTTTTAATTGCCTGGGACAAGTAGGCTTGACCAGACGAGGCTCCTATAATGACCTCAGTGAACAATAAATGATAAAATCTGGTTTGAATGTCAGTTCTGGAGTTCAGTGCCGGCAATGCTTCTGAAAGGTAAGTTGTAGTCGAAGGTCTCCGTGTTGAAATGTCTGACTGGGTCTCCCATAAGATGACTTCTCAAGGGGTCCTGTACAGTGCCTGGCACTCAAAACACATCTGCCAGATGCTTTCTTCCTGACATGGCCCAAGCCAGGTCTATTCCTTGCAGAGAATTACCGAATTCTCAATATATACTATGTCCCCAAGGAGCCCCTAGTCTCACCTCCGGAACAGCCTTCTTCCTGGTTAAGCTTTCCCCTCTGTAGACTGAGAAGACTGCACAGCCTCACCGTCAAGATCTGGGACATCTGAGACCAGGAGGACCTGAATCTCAGTTCTAGCTCCGCGAGTCACCTAGCCCTCTGAGATTCTCCTCGTCTGTGAAATGGGGTTAATAACTCACTGAGTTACTGTGAAGATCAAATGAGATACTAGATGGTAGGTGCTTTGCAGAATGTAGTGCTTAGTAAATATTAACCAATATCATATAATGTTAAAGACACAAACACACACATCAATAGTATGAATTAGCTTATCAGATAAACTCTGAACAAAGCAAGTAACTCCCAAACCATTCATATCACTAGAAAGAAAATGTCACCAGCATTGCACAGTGACACATGAAAAATTATTGGTGGTAACATCCAGTGCTGGTGAAGGTGGGGGACATGGGTACTTCACAAACTGTTGGTAAGACTATAAATCGCCTCCAGCCTTTCAGAAAGTGTTATGGCAGAATTTATTAAAATTCAAAGTGTACGTCCCATATGATCGGGCAGTTCCTCTCTGGGAATATATCTAGCAACAATCAAAGGGCCAATATAAACAGATATTTGTGTAAGTATATTCACTGTATCATTATTTATGGTAGCAAAACCCCTAGAAAACCCTAAATGTTCATTAATGGGATTGTTTAATGGATGATGGTACAACCACACCATGCTATATTAGGCCTCTTTTAAAATCGAATGATGGAAATGTGTATTATAGATTTGGAATGATGCCCACAATAGAAGCTTTCGATACTCTTAACAAACCCTTACTGAACACCCAGTGAGTTCCAGACTCTGTTCTGTGCCCCAGGACTACAGTGTTAAGTGGAACAGACAAGATCCTTGCCCTCAAGCAGCTAAAATTGTCCTGGGGAAAACAGATACTCGACAAACAGTACGGGCAAATACCATGTAATACCAGATAGTGATGGGGTCCAGAGGATAGATGAAGCAGGTGAAGGGGACAGGTGTGGCAGGAGGCTCCGTGTTCGATGGAAATGTCACAGAAGGGCTGTCTGAGGAGCTGGTAGAGAGGGCTTATGGAACATTTGGGAATGTCACGTGCAAAAGAACCTGAGGTTGGAGCATGCCTGGTGAGTCCTGGGGAAACTCAAGCGAACAGAGAACATTCTAGAACAGTTTGTATGATCATTGGCTAATGATCCCAGTTTGTTCTTTTTAAAACTTGTGCGTGCTCACACGGGCTCATGCATGCAAAGGATATATTGTGAAATAGTAAACAGGAGCTACGTCCCAGGGGAAGTTGGGAGAGGGGACTTCCAGCTCATTTTATAAAAGTTCCTGAGAGTGGCAGGAACTTTGTGCGCTCCGTAAGCGAGGACTCACCCAAAACCGTAAAACAAGGGCTCCCCCATCATCTCTCTCTCTCTCTCTCTCTCTCTCTCTCCAGGTGACACTGAAGACAGGAGGGGCCCAGGTCAGAAAACAGGTGTGTCCTGCTGACTCTGTCTTATATTTTGGGACCGGAGTCCTTCTATCCCATACCTCTGTTGCCCTTTCTCCATTTAACGTGTGATTTCCCCTCCACGTCCTGAACCAGCCTCCGCTCCCGGGCGAGGAAGCTATGGACCTCCTGTGCGCAGGGCCTCCGAGGCACGCATGAGCTCAACTAGCCGGGACTCAGAGAGCTGGGACCACAGCCACGGTGGGGCTGCCAGTGACTCCAGCCAGAGCCCAGCAGGTAGGAGACATGAGCAAATCCAGACAGGCTTCCTGGATGAGGAGAATCCAAACGAATGGGGGTGATAGTGTTTTAGTCCATGTATTCTGTATTTATTGAGCATCTGCTACATGCCACATTCCATTCTAGATGCTGGAAAGACAACTGAGAAACAATTCTGCCTCTAAACAGCTATGTTTGATAATATCTATTTCCTGCTCTAATGCCAACTGTCAGGAAAATGTAGGGGGACTTCCTATCCTCCCTGAGGAAAATGCAACGTGTCTCTGAGCAGAGTTGAGATGCTTCCCTCTCACAAACCCACTGAAGTTTTTTGTTCTCTTGGCCAGTGGCCTCTGCTGTCCACGAGATGGGGTCGGTCAGCATGGCCAGGATGTCGCTCATAGCTGCTCTCTGCTCACTGGTGCCCAGTGCCTCTGGCTGCACTCGCAGGGGATATATTTGCCAAGAGTGCCCACCGTGGGAGTCCTTGATTCATGGACTTTGGGGAAAATGTCTGCTGGATGAGAGAGATCAAATCTCCCTGCCTCCTGTGGGATCCCTTAGAGCCACTTCATTTCCTTTTTAAGCAAGGACATGAGACTGTGTCCAAACTTGGATAGGCTGGATATTCAGGTCCCATATTGACCTCTGGCTTCTCCCCCTCAATAGTGGGTCTGCAGCTTAGACCCATAGTCCCTCTTCTTCTTGGCAAGAGAGCTGGGCACGTACCCTGTGCTTAATCCACTGTGCACACCCCCTAATGAACCTGTGATTCATATGCATAGAGAAAGGAGGATTTCTCAGCTCTGCAACAACACGGAATATTTGTTGTCTACTTACTATGGGCCAGATGCTGGCCCAAGCTCTTCTTATAGAACATCTCCTTTAATCCTTGTCACAGCCCCAAACCCTGTTATGAAGACTTCTATTATTCCCATTTTACCAGTGGAGACACTGAGCTCAGAGAAGTGATGCCACTGGCCTGAGGTCACACAGCTGATCACTGGTTCCAGTGGAAATTAAACCCATGTCTGTCAAACATCAAAGCTTGTGCTTGTTTTTCTCTTCTGGAGGTGAAGTTTTTATTAACAGTGCTTTTTTAAAAAAGCATCTTTTTAAATGGTGGTAAAATATACTTAATATTAAATTTACCATTTTAATTACTTTTAATAGTAGCATTAAGTGCGTTCACACTGTCGTGCAGCCATCGCCACTAACCAGCTGCAGAGCCATTTCATCCCCAACTGAATCTTTTACCCATGAAACTATAATTCTGCATTCCATTTTCCCCCAGCCCCTGGTAACCACTAACCACTATGGATTTGCTTATTCTTGGCATCTCATATAAGTGGAATTACACAGTATGTGGGCTTTTGTGACTGGCTCCTTTCAATGAGCATCCTGTGTCCAGGGTTCATTCATGTTGTGGTATGTATCACAACCCGGAATTCCTTTTTTTTTTAAATATTTTATTTATTTATTTGACAGAGATCACAAGCAGGCAGAGAGGCAAGCACAGAGAGGAGGAAGCAAGCTCCCCTCTGAGCAGAAAGCCCGATGTGGGGCTCGATCCCAGGACCCTGGGATCATGACCTGAGCCAAAGGCAGAGGCTTTAACCCACTGAGCCACCCAGGCACCCCCGGAATTCCTTTTTAAGGCTAAATAAGATCCCCATGCATGGATAGACATTTTGTTTATCCATTCAACTGTTGATTGATCTTTGGGTTGTTTCCACATTTTGACTGTTGTGGATAATGAACATTGGTGTGCAAATATCTGTTTGAATCCCTGCTCTTGATTTGGGGAGGTCTATCCCTAGAAGTGAGATAGCTGGACCATGTGGTAATTGTCTGCTTAATTTTCTTAGGAACCATCCATTCTGTGTTCTACAGCAGCTTCACCAGTTTACATTCTCACCAGAAATGCACAAGGGTTCCAGTTTCTCCACATTTTCACCAACATTTGTGTAGTATGTGTATGTGTATACCCATCCTAATGCGTGTGAATGGGTATCTCATATTTTTTATTTCCATTTCCTTGATGATTAATGATGTTGCGCATCTTTTCTCAACTCATTGGCCATTTGTATATTTCCTTTGGAGAAATGTCTGTTCAAGTCCTTCACCCATTTTTTAATTGGGATGTTTATTTTATTATTGTTGAGTTATGGGAGTTCTTTATATATTGTGGATATTAATCCCTTTCCAGATCTATGATTTCTCAATATTTTCTCCCATTCTGTGGGTTGCCCTTTCGCTCCAATGATAGTGTCCTTTGATGCACCAAAGTTTTTAATTTTGACAAGTCCCATTTTTCTTTTGTTTTATGTGCTTTGGGTGTCATATTCAATTACTCCAAAGATTTATTTATTTATTTATTTGAGAGAGAAAGAGCATGCAGTGGGAAGGTGCAAAGAGAAAGAGAGAATCTCCGTCTCACGACCCTGAGATCATGACCTGAGCTTAAACCAAGAGTCAGGTGCTCAACCAACTAAGCCACCCAGGTGCCCCCCTCTTTGATCCATTTTTAGTTAACTTCTACATATGAAGCCTGTGCTTTTAGCCTCTGTATTATTTTGCCTCTTGAGGGAAAAGACAGTCACACAACACTCCTGAGCCAGATTTGAACCCCTGTCCCTCAAGAGTCAGTGTAAATGCTACCGCCATCTAGGAAGCTTCTAGCATCCACCTGCCCCATCTTGAGCTGAGTTCATTGCTCCTGCCTCTGAGTTCCCAGGGGACTGACACTCAGCTCTAATTAGTGCTTGTCACTATGTTTACTAAAACATAGTAAAGCCAGAATCTCTTTCCCTGAGAGCAGTAGAAGACAGGGGATCAGTAATTCTATGTACCTTAGGTGTGTGTTAAAAGCACTTGTTCCTCTGCCCCACTCCAGACCTACTAAATCAGAACTTCTGGGGTCAGGAACCAGACTCTGCACTTCTTAAGCAAACTCTTCCAGTGATTTCTGTGAATGCCAAAGTTTGAAAACCATTGCTCAAGAGCCTGAAAATTTAGATATATGAGTTTGGATGTTTTCTTGAAGGAGCTAGGGAGCCACAGAAGGATATTGAGCAAAGGGCCAGCATCTTGTATTTTTATATCATTCACATATCCCACATATCCCTCAAGTCCTAGCTGGGGGCACTGAGGTTACTCAGAGGGGCCTGTTGCTCCAGCCACCTAGTGCTACCTAACCTCTTGATACCGTCTGCAGAAGGGAGGATTGCAACCCTTCCCGATCTCCTGTGGCCCAGATGCCCTTGCTGTGTAGTAAAAGGCTCAGTCATGCCGGCAGTCCTCGGTGATGAACGAGACTAAGCCCCAGAGGGAATTCCATCAGGAGTTCTGAGGGTGACTTGCAACTCAGGTCCCAGATCCTCAACAAGAATCAAGTCAGCTCTGCAGGTCCCATTCAGTAATCCTGACACCTCCCAGTGCCCCCTTCTTTGCAGATCTGGGACATGGAGTTAGTGCCTTGGAATAAACCAAAATCATCCCGACTTTTCTTTAGGCTGCAGAGTTTTGTCTGGGCATCGATAGCTCTTTCATGTTGGTACGCCCAAACTCCAAGTCCAAACCCCACCTGCACCAGGAAGCTCTTCCCGTCCCCCCAGCCAAAGGTTGCCTCTTGCCTCCATCCCCTGTGATGCTCCTTATTTACCTCTATGGCCATTTCAGTTCAGTGTCAAGGGCACAAACACCAGAACAGAGACTGTGTGGGGTCAGATCTCAGCTCCACCACCTGCCAGCTGCGTGTTCCCATTTTACAGATCAAGACAGCAAGCTTTCAATTATTGTAAAATGAAAAGAATGGCAGTAATCAGTCTTATCTTCTGGGGTTGCTGTAAAGGGTTAAGTGAACTGAAACCTCACAGTGGTCCTTGTAAAGTTCTCGGAGCACAGCCCGGCATGCCGTGGGACCCCAGGGTGCATGATTATTCACTTTCTACCTCCTGGGGCAGGTATAACATAACCTGCCCCAGATTATTTTTGGAGTCAGACGAACGTGTTTGAAGGTCCTAGCCACTTCCAAGCTAAGTGACCTCGGGCACACTTGAACTGCCATTTTCTCTACTGCAAAATGGGGACCACACATGACTTTGAGTTCTGAGCGTTCCAGGAAGTGATGCTTATGGCCTGGCGCATCTGAACCACTCAGTGGATGTGGGCTATTACTGCTGTTTTATAAGCTCATTATCTCAGTGTCTGTCTCCTTCCTCTGGATCACGCATTCTTAGAGGAATTAAGATGGGTTTTGTCCATCTTTTCTAGGGATTGGCTCTTGGTAGACATTGAATGAGCGAGTGAGTGAGTGAATGAATGAATGAACAAATGAACGAACAAGGACCCAAATGAACAAACCACAGTGCTACTGCAGGACCCCAGCCAGAGGTGGCAAATCACCTTCTGTCATTAGCATTCAAGCACCCCTCCAGTGACAAAGAGCTGAATTCAGAAAAGGTGGGATCCAGACCAGTGAAATGTACAAGGACAGAGCTTTCTTCCAGAAATGTCATACCTTCTGGATGTATGTACACAGGAACTGCTGTGTACATTATCCCCTTTGACCCCCCAGTAGCTGCGCAGGAGACAGTAGCATCTGATGGTCTCAGGCAGAATCTAGAGACCAAATGCTTGAATTCAAACCCTGGCTCTGCCACTAACCAGTAAGGAGACATTAGTGAGCTCCTTAGCCCTCTGTGTCCAGCTTCCCCATTTGTAAAAGGGAGATAATAAAGCACCCATTTCATGAGGTATAGAGATTAAATAGGTAATCTGTAAAGTCCCTGAAACATGGAACATGGTAAGCATTAAATGAAGGTTAAGTTGTTATTATCCTATAGACAGAGCTGTTGCCTCCATGAGACATTTGAGGCTCAGAGAAGGTGAATGAGCAGCTCAAGTCACACAGTTTATATGAGAAGGTGGAGGCAGAGCTAGGTCTGTGTGAAAATGGAGACCAGAGTCAACAATAATAATATTTAGGGCACCTGCGTGGCTCAGTGGGTTAAGCCTCTGCCTTCAGCTCGGGTCATGATCTCAGGGTCCTGGGATTGAGCCCTGAATCAGGCTCTCTGCTCAGCAGGGAGTCTGCTTCTCTCTCTCTCTTTCTGCCTGCCTCTCTGCCTACTTATGATCTCTCTCTCTTTCTGTGTCAAATAAATAAAATCTTTAAAAAGAAACCAATAATAATATTTAGAGTTTACTCCATGCCGGGTGCTATTCTGGGCCCTTTGCTTGTACCATAGCATCTCTGTGCAACCCTAGGAGGGAGGTACTGTTATCCCCATTTTGCAGGTCAGGAGACAGAGGCCCAGAGAGGACAGGACACTTGCAGAAGGTCATACAGGTGGAGACAGCATCATGAAACCTTTGCTTTTTGCCCCCCGTGTCACTGCTGTGACTTGCACAGGGGGTCTGAGTGTTGAACAGAGAAAAGGCACGGAGAGGAGGAGGGGGTCTGCGCTCAGTTCAAACCCAGAAGGCATTGCCTCATGCCAGCAGACCAGTTCCGGGCTTCCTCCTGCTTCCACTCTGTGTCCGCATGTGAGGGTATGTGCGTGCACACGCACAGAACAAGACAGGTTCTTTCTTTTCCCCTGCAGGTTTGCGGCGGGCCAACTCCGTGCAGGCCTCCAGACCTGCCCCCGCCACCATGCAGAGCCCCGCACCGCCCCAGGCCGCACAGCCAGGTACCTGCCGCCTGCCCACCCAGACTGTCACTCAGCTGGGACCCCGGTGTCTCCTGCCCTTGCTTCCAGAGCCTGCCCGGCTTTCTGAAAAGCCACAGCCACCGCCAAACCCTCAGCTCTGCAAAGACCCTGACCATGAGTAATCCTCCAGGTGGGGAAGATGGGCACAAGTGAGAGGGGACCGACGGACCCACGTTGACAGGCTTCTTCAGGCACTGTCACTCCCTTTCACAGTCCTTACCTCATGCACCCGCCACCTGCCTTCTTACTTCACATCTTTCTTGAAATCGATTCACTTGAAAAACGCAATGGAGAGAACTTGCTATCGCAGACTGTCTCTCAAGGAAGTGCTACGGACGGATGCTCCCAGAACAGCAGTGTGAGAGTCAGGAGGACATGGTGACCAAAGAGATGAGTAATATGGAAAAATCCATACGAATATGGATTGCATAAAACAGTAGCAATAATGCCTGACTGGTGCAGTTAACATTGTGTTATTTTAAGAGGAACCTGTAATAGTGCCATAAATGAGAACCCAGTATCCCATGTCCTAAAGACACGGAGCAGTTTGCTAGGGCTATCCTAACAAAGTATCATGCACAGAGTGGCCTAAAAGTACAGATATTCATAGTCTCACAGTTCTGAAGGTGAAAAGTCCAAAATCAAGGTGCTGGCAGGGGTGGCTCCTCCTGGAGGCTTCAGGGAGAATTTGCTCCACGCCTCTCTTCTTAGCTCCTGGTGGCCCACAGCTTCCTTGGCCGGTTGGTGGCCTTCTCCCTGTGTCTTCACACCGTCTTCCTTCTACGTACACCTCTGTGTCCAAATCTCTCCTTTTTTTAAGGACATAGTCGTCTGGTGTTAGGGCCCACCCTGATGACCTCATCTCAACTTGATCATCTGCAAAGACCCTCTTTCCAAATAAGGCCGCGTTCAGAGGGACTGGGGCTTAGAACTTCAGCATCCTTTGGGGAATTCAGTTCAACCCATTGCAGGGGGTAATTCTAAAAATTAATGCAATGGAAAAAAAATTAATGCAATGAAAATAAAGCCGTGCAGTGAGACTGTCCATATGCCGGCCTGCTGCATGTTCTGAGCCCGAGGCCTGTTCTTTTCTGCTCGAAAGGGACATTCACAAAAGTTAGAGAGGTGTCAGAGATGAAGTAGCACCTAAATGAGACGTTTCCATGATGGAGTTGGTATTGACAGGCAGTGGGAACCGAAATGGCTTTCTTGCTGTTTGTTTGAACGTTACCCCAAGCCCCCTCCCTGTGGCTCTCCCTTGCATCCCATGCTATGGGAAATGTAGTTGTAAAGAATCCACTGGACCAGGACTGATCCCATAGTGATGGATGGTGGAGTCAAGGCATAAATCTGCGTATCACCTCACAACAATTCCAATTCCATTCATTTATCAACTTTGTAGCAGTCGGCGAGACGCAAAGAGCAGGTGCAACCATCCCCATTTCACCGAGGAGGAAGCTGAGGCCCAGGAAGGAAGCACTGGGGCTTGAACCCAGGTCTTTCTGACCTCAGAGTCCCCCAGTGGGACCATTCCTGTGTCCCTGGGTGCCTGTGGCCATCACCTGCTGCCTCCAGGCCTGTGTCCACAGTCCGTAAATGAAGGGGGATGGGGAAGAACACCCAAATGATGTCACCTTGTCTGCTCTGTTCCTCTCTCTTTCCCCATTCAGGGCCTCCAGGAGGTAGCAAACCCGGACCTGGGCCCACAGGGCGCTTTCCAGATCAGAGACCAGGCAAGTGTTCCTTTCTTCCCCCGCACCTGCCCAGTGGGCACCCCTCTTCCTATGAGACAGCAGGGGCTGCCAGACCTTTACCCCTCTGCGCCCAGAGACCCATCTGATGAGCTCTGAGGGGTCTCCCTAATTCCAAAACTCTAGATGGTCCTCACTAAGATGACATAGCTAGAAAAGGACAGCACATGCAGTGGTTAAGAACACAGACTGCCTGGATTCAAATCCAGGCTCCTTTCCTCGCCAGCTGTCAAGTCACTTAACTTCCCTGAGCCTCTGTTTCCTTATGTCTAAAATGGGAATAACCTCCCAGAGTTGATGGGAGGATTAAACAAACCAAGACATGTAAAACCTTAGCCCATGGCCTGGAGTGGATTAAGATCATGCTGAGTGACGGTGGTTCTTCGTATGAGGTGTATGACTCGTCATCAGTTACTAGAGCTACGGCTTATCATTGCTTTCTAGCTCACCAGGTACTGTTTTAAGTGCCATCCATGTAGTAATTCTTTTAAAAGAATAGCTGCTAGTTTTGAGCACCTCCAGGTATTATAATTCCCATTTTACATGTGAGGAAACTGAGGCTCAGAGACATTAAGTAACTTGCCCCAGGTCACACAGCAGAGATTCAAACCCAAGCCGTCTGGCTGCAGAGCCTACACCACTGATCAGTACCCCCATAAGGTCTGTTTTGCCTGCATCTAAATCAGCTCATGGGACTTGTTCTCAGACCCAGACTCTAAGGCCCATGGCACTGCCTACTGAGTCTGGGTGGGGCCTGAGAACCTGCATTTTTGCAAGCTTCCCTGGGTGGTTTTGATAAGGGCAACATTCAGAGGACCCGTGAATAACATGACGCGGTCCTCCCTCCCTTTCCCCTGTCAGCTGGTTGTGGCAATCCCCCATGGCTGGGCTGGGTGGTTCTGGTACTTTGCCAAGCACATGGTATACAGTAGGTGCTTATCACTAGCGGTAACACTGCAGCAGTTGCTGATGTCACCGCACAGAGACTCAGCTGACTCTTTCCCGCCCTCTCCCCATCTCCCCTGCAGAGGTAGCTCCCGGTGACTCTGGCTATGCCGGGGCCACTGCCCTGCCCCGGGAGGAGAGAACGGGGGGAGTTGGGGGCTACTCAGCAGCTGGAGCCAGGGACGACCGAGCGGGCCCCCCTCCGGGCCCCTATTCCCAAGCCTCTGCTGCTGCCCCCCAGCCTGCCGTGGCCCCTGCCCGCCAGCCCCCACCCCCAGAGGAGGAGGAGGAAGAAGCCAACAGCTACGATTCGGATGAAGCAAGTAGGTGGCACTTACGGGAGGAGTGTCTGGGGAGAGTCACTTCGGGGTGTCGTCCCCGGGGGCAGAGGAACAGGCCCCTATATGCCAAGCCTAATAAACATACCAACCAAGTTATAAAGATACGGGTTTGTGTTACTAACCTCACAAAGCAACATCAGCTTTCTAAAGAATAGATGCTATGTGTATTTTTATTGTGATAAACACGGAACGTCAAAGTTACCGTCTAAATCATTTTAAAGAATATGGTTTGACTATATTTGCGATGTTCAGTTTGGCGGTACCTCAGAGAGTCAGACGGAAGTATCCTATGGCCCAGCATTTCACGTCTTTCTTTCTAGCTATATGTATGTACTTTGATAGCCTCTACAACTCTTTAATGTATATCTTCTAGAAGATATACTCTACCATAATTTAAAAATTCCTAGACATTTCCTCCTACATCCATCCCTTCAATGACTTGTAAAGTGCCTGTTCTGGGCCTTGCCCACTCAAGACCAGAGTCCTAGGGACACACATGCACACACACACCCCGGTGACACTCATCCTGGGTGTGTCCGAGCAGCAAGCGAGAGCTGCGATGGCCTTTGTGAGCCGGAGGGAGACATGGATCGACGAGTGTCTGGATCTAATATGTGTTGTGGGGTTGGGAGCATTGCAAGAGCTCCTAGTCAGGGGGACAGACAGGACACAGATGAAAGAAGTGACTCACAGTCATTATCAGTGGCCTGGCTTTGACCCATCCTGTCGCCTCTCCTTGATGGAAAATGGAAGAATATTCCAGGCAGAGGCAAAAGCAAATGCTCAGACCCATTTCTTCCTGTAGTGACTATGTGAGCACCAACTGTGTGCTCTGTACTGTGCCCAATGGGGACACAGCAGTCACAGCCCTTGCTGTCAGGGGGCTCTCGGTCTAGCAGGATGGGAAGTCAGTAACTAGGCAGTTGCACACACGTTTAAGTGAGAGTGATCACAGGTGTCCTGAGGACTCCGAAGGAAAGGAGGGTCTACCAGGATGGGGTGTCCAGAGCAGGGACCGAGTCTTCCCCTCTGTAGGCTCAGTGCCTCCACCAGACTGGGCACATAGTAAGTGCTCAGGAAATGTTTGCCGAGTGACTGAACGAATATTCTCTTGGTTCCTGCCTCTGCCTCCTTCAGCCACCCTGGGTGCCCTGGAGTTCAGCCTTCTCTATGACCAGGACAATAGCTCCCTGCACTGCACCATCATAAAAGCCAAAGTAAGTGAGAGGCCAAGCTGGGGACCACTCAGAATGCTCAGGCATGTCTCAGGGACTTGGGGATGGCATGGGTGACGGGGCCTGTCTATGTGTGACAGTGACAGTGATGAGAAAGGGGCAGGAAATAGCCGTGGATGCTTCCTTTGGAGGACTTCCTTCGGGGTGTGGGCGCCGGGGGGTTTCACCAGGCTGTAGCTGCCTCCTGGGAGTGGACGGGTGGGGGAAGGGCACCCATTGTTGCCAATACTGGGACATCTCCGTGCTGCGGACTCCAGGGGGAGTGATCCAACTCAACTCCAGACCCCGAGGAGAGCTGGATGATGCCAGCACCCATCCCAGAAAGTACTGACTGGAGTCCCCCCCACACTGCACCCCCCCCCCAACCCTTGCTGCAAGCCTGGCACATGTGGAAGCAGAAGCAGAGCTCAGGAAGCAGACTTCCTGGGTTCAAACACTAGCTCCATTGCTCTCAGCTGTGTGAGAGTTACTCAACCTCTCTGAGCCCCAGTGTGCTGTTTGTAAATCCGGGATAATAATGCACCTCTCCCATAAGGATGACAGAGTATTAAGTGTAAGGCGGTCACATGTTCCTGTTTGCCTAGGACAGTCCTTAGCCAATCCCTGTGACCTTGCTGGAATAATGAAAAGCTCCCCTTTTTGCTCATAATATGTCCCGGTTTGGATGATAAACGAGGCTAAAGCTTAGCACAACTCCTGGATCAACACACCCAGGGCACATCTTCAGCAGGTTTTGCTGAGCACCTGTTCTGTATCAGTGCCTGTAGCGAGCACTTACATGCCCCAAGAGCACAGTGAGGTCAGCACATTCATTGGCTCTGGTCATCCTCCTGGAAACCTTGGAGGTAGGGACCATTATTAGCTCCATTGTACAAATGGGGAAACTGAGTCTCAGCAAAGTAAAGCCTGAGGTCACACAGCTGGTAGGGGTAGAGCTGATTTGCACCCAGATGTAATGGTTTTGCTTTCGGCCCATTCATTCAGTCCCCTCCTTCAGCTCCAGCCATGGGGGAAAGCCACACCCTTACCACCCCTCAAGACTGGGTACAGAAAACCCACCTGCTCTCGGGCTGGGCGGGTGACAAATACGAACAAAGCGTGTGAGATGTTCGGCTGTGGGATTAGCTTTGGTAAACTGGCATGAGCCGCCTCGAACAGAGATGTTCAAGTTCAGATTTTAAAAGCGTGGTGTCTGCCAGTTTGCAGCCTTGCAATCCCCGTAGTCATTCCAGAAATGTTCATTATATGCCTACTCTGTACCAGGCACTTCCTAAAAGCTGGGGATCCTAGCATGAACTAGAACTGGGCCCTGCCTTCACCAACTTCATGTCGGGGAAATGGCCAGGAGACTGTGGCCGTGGCATTTCCTGAGTATTATAGGCTTTCCATGATGATTTCATTCTGCTTAATCTTCACAGCAACTTATGAGGAAGGTTCTGTCATCAATCCCATTTTACAGGCCACAAAACCGAGGCACAGAGCTTAAGTGACTTGCCCAGATCACATACCAGGAAGTGGCAGAGTTGGGATTTGAACCCAGGAACTCCTGCTCAAGAGCCTGTGCTCTTACCCATGAAGATATTCTTCCAGCTTTCCCCCTTACCCCCCACCGTGTGGCACCCTCTCCCCATTGTCCACACCCACCAGTGCCAGACCCAGAGCTCACCCTTCACAGGCGAGGCCTCAGTTAATCCCCCAAGAACCCCACGAACAGGGGCTGCGAACAGTCCCACTGAACAGATGGGGAAACTGAGGCCACAAAGATGCATGGCTTTGGGATTAGTAATATGAGAGAGGATAGCAGGAGCCTAGAGGTGGGAACACCTGCCCAGCCCTAGCACAGGATGCTGGACAGAGTATGTCTGGGCCCCAGGAATTTGGGGTTTTGCTCATATTAACAAGCCCAGTTTAATTACTACCCCAGGAAAACTCCCTTCCCCCATGGTGTCTCACTCAAGCCTCATTCAAGCCCAGGGGGTGGGGGGGCCAGACAGATCCCGTGTTCCCCATTTTATGGATGGAAAAACTGAGGTCTCCGAAATGAGTGTGGGGCCAGGGCCGGAACTCAGGCCCCCTTTCCCCAGCTTCTCCTTCTCTCCCATCCTTGTTCTGGAACATTTCCTTCCATGCTAAGAACAACAGTCCAGCCTTGATGCAGAAATCAGTGTGCGTCAGGCTCTGTGCCCAGCACTTCACAGGGAGAACCATGTTTAAGTCTTACCACTCTGTGAAGCAGCTACTGTTATCCCCTTTGACAGAGGAGGAAAATGAGGCTCAGAGAGGTTAAGGAACTTGCCTAAAGTCACACAGCTGGGAATTAACATGGCCAGGCTCCAAACCCCGTTTGCCTGATTCCAGCATTCTTCCCAGCCTAATTCATTTCCCTCCTCTGTCTTTGGAAGAGGAAGCACACGGGAGGACCGATGGGCAGGACAGATGCCAGGGGCTGTGCCCATTGCCTGTGACAGTTGAGCACCAGGCCCTCCCAAGGCCCTTCCTGCTGTTGCCTTTTCTGTTGCAGGGACTGAAGCCCATGGATTCCAACGGCTTGGCTGATCCCTACGTGAAGCTGCATCTCCTGCCGGGAGCCAGCAAGGTACCATATGGCCTGGACCTTTCAGCAGACTGGGCACATGGGCCCTGGCAGGCACCCAAGGTTCCCAGCTCAGAGCCTAAAATAGCCCCCCTAACTGGCCTCAAACGCCCCTCCTTCCTGAGTGGCAAAGTCCTTGCAAGGGGTATGGGGTAGACCATGAGTTACTCCCCTTCAAGGGGCAGGTGCTCTGCCCATGTCTCCAGCCAAGAAATGGGGGCTCCAGGGAGCCGCCGAAGGCCAGGAGAGAAGCAGAAGCCCCAGTTAGGCCATCCGCTTGCTCAGATACCTTCAGTGGCTCCCCAGTGCTGACTGTGGCTCACCTCCCCCACCCACTTTATGTCCCATCCACATGCTTCTCCTCTCCAAAGAGAAATGAAGAACTCTCTCCAGGCCGTAGTGCTAAGCCCCTGAGAAAATGTTTGTTACAGAGCAAAGATGCTCTGCTGCCCCGCCCACCTTTCTCTCCCCGGCCAGCTCGCTCACCTCCATATCTCTACCTTGCTCTGGGGAGGGACAGTGGAGTTAATTCTCCTCTTTTTGGATGGACCCACTCAGAGCACATGGCTAGAAATGAAAGGGTGCTTTCTTGGATTTTTTTCTGCTTTGTTGTGTTAATTTGACATGTATGTCCCCAAAACAAGGGTGACCGTATACTTGGTTGCATGATCTTGGGAAAATGGCCATTAAAAATCTATGCAAGTATGAAATGCCCCATGACTCAAAGAGAGCACACATGTATGCATTCACATACACACTGTCTCTCACTTTTTCTTTCTTTGGATCAAGAAAGGAGAGTCCCTCTCATGGATATGACCAAACTGTGAAGTGTTTGGCCACTATTCTTTCAGACCCACCAGTGACATTTGCTTCTCCTCAATACTCTCTTCTTTGCTCACACCCAAATCCAAACTGGCTTTGCCAAAGTGTCCAGTGAGTCATTTACATGTTAGTATGAATTAGATTTGCTACCGGGCCACCTCTTCTGGATATAGTGCATTTTTAGCTGTCTTTCTTAGAGTAAAATGAAAACCTTGTCCGCTAAGGATTTTTAGGCATGGAGGATGTTATTTGGGGAGACAGAAGAAACCATTTCAATACGTCCCAGAAATTGTTTTTTCACTGCCTATAAGTGGGTGACTCTTTATTCCTGCGTTTCTGACCTATAAATCACTTTTTTTTTTCTCATGCTTTCTAATCTTAGTGGAAAGTTCAAAGAGAGGGCCCTGCACATGGAGGGAGGGGTGGCCCAGTGCCCAGTACTGATGACAGCTGTAGCAGCATGGGCTATGCTCTTTACTCACTGAGAGCGTGCATTTGGGAGCAACTGGGCCCCCAGACACTTGTAAGGGGACCAGACTCCTACATCACTCACCCACCCACCCCAAGTCAACCCAAAGGATGGGGCTGCAGGGCTGGCTTCCCACCAAGACAGGTGTCTTGTCTATCTCTCTGGGCTCTAGTCCAACAAGCTTCGTACGAAAACTCTGCGAAACACCCGGAACCCTGTCTGGAATGAGACCCTTGTCTATCACGGCATCACAGACGAGGACATGCAGAGGAAGACGCTCAGGTACCTGCGGGTGGTCAGGGAGGAGACTGAGGCCAAGCAAATGGAGAAGAGGGGCCAGAGGCCACTCTTGAAAATATATCTGCATAGTTTCTTTCTTTCTTTTTCACCTCTACAAAAACAACATATGTTTCTGGTAGAGACTTTTGAAAATACAGATAAAACTCTTAACATCTTGGTGTCTGGACGTTCAGGTCATATGTGTATTTATTTGTGTGTGTGTGTGTGTGTGTGTATTTACAATGTGTGCAAATGTTTCTTATAAAATTAAGTGTTCTAAACACAGACCGTTCTAATAATCAGCCTCTTTTAACACTATATTGATGCCATTTAATATTCTTTATATTCTTCTCCAGTGTTCTGTTAAATTGCATTTTTAATTATGCGAGTAATAAGCAAATACATGTTTCTTGTGAATAAAAACTTACGGAGAAGGCAAAGCTCCTTTTAAATGTTAGTCCCCAGGGTGCGTGGGTGATTCAGTGAGTTAAGCATCTGCCTTCAGCTCAAGTCACAATCCCAGGGTCCTGGGATCGAGCCCCAAGCCCCCGATCAGTGGGACTGATCCCTGCTCAATGGGGAGTCTGCTTCTTCCTCTCCCTTTTCCCCTCTCCCCTGCTCACTCTCTCTCCTGCTCTCTCTCTTTCCCCTGCGTGCTTGCTGTCTCTCTCAAATAAATAAAAGCAATCTTTTTAAAAATTAAAAAAAAAAATGTCAGTCCCCTCCACCAGCCTGGGTCCACTCCCTCCCTCCATGAATGTGTGCCTATTCTTACTACTGCTTACAACCTAGAAAGCACCATGCTGTATAAATCTGACACTTGCCTTTTCTCTTAACATTGTATCTTAGAGTTATAGCTGTGGGAAGACATTTAGATCTGCCAAATATTTGACTGCTTCACTGTGTTACACAGAACGATTTATCACAAATTTTAAAAAATGTTTTATCATTAAATATTACAACCGTACAGAAAAGTGTAAACATAATAAAACAAACATCCATAAACTCAGCACTCAGTATTTTTTTAAATTTAATTTTTTCAGTGTTCCAAGATTCATTGTTTATGCACCACACCCAGCGCTCCATGCAGTCCGTGCCCTCCTCAATACCCACCACCAGGCTCACCCATCTCCCCACCCCCTCCCTTCCAAAACTCTCAGTTTGTTTCTCAGAGTCCACAGTCTCTCATGGTTTGACTCCCCCTCCGATTTCCCCCAACTCACTTTTCCTTTCCTTCTCCTTACTTCCTCCATGTTACTCCTTATGCTCCACAAGTAAGTGAAACCACATGATAATTGACTCTCTCTGCTTGACTTTTTTCACTCAGCATAATCTCCTCCAGTCCCGTCCATGTTGATACAAAAGTTGGGTATTCCTCCTTTCTGACGGAGGCATAATATTCCATTGTATATATGGACCGCATCTTCTTTATCCATTCGTCTGCTGAAGGGCATCTTGGCTCTTTCCAGTTTGGTAATTATGGCCATGGCTGCTATGAACATTGGGGTACAGACGATCCTTCTTTTTACTACATCTGTATCTTTGGCATAAATACCCAGTAGCAGCACTTAGTCTTTAAGAAAATCTTAATATTTTGCTATATGTTCTTCAGCTTTTAAAATTGATATTATTTTCAAGAAAGAAAGCATTACAGATGCAGACCAAAGCTCCTGTCATATCCCCCCTCCCCACCCCCTCCTTCTCTTCTTCCCCTACTCAGTGCAAAACACACACTGAATTGTATGGCTATCATTCCCAAGCATGTTTTAGACTTCAACTACATGATTATGTATCTATAAACAATGATGCATTGTCTGGAATGTTTTTAAAATTTTTAAAAGATTTATTTATTAGAGAGTGAGCAGCAAGGAGGGGCAGAGGGAGAGGGAGAATCTCAAGCAGACGCCCCACTGAGCTGCAGAGCCCCACATGGGGCTCAATCTGTCCCGGGATCAAGAATCAGACTCTTGGGGCGCCTGGGTGGCTCAGTGGGTTAAGCCTCTGCCTTCGGCTCAGGTCATGATCTCAGGGTTCTGGGATCGAGCCCCGCATCGGGCTCTCTGCTCAGCGGGAAGCCTGCTTCCCCCCTCTCTCTGCCTGCCTCTCTGCCTACTTGTGATCTCTCTCTCTCTGTCAAATAAATAAAATCTTTAAAAGAAAGCATTTTTATTGAAGGGTAACAGCCACTTAGGAAAATGCACACATGAAAACTGTACAGATTGATGAGTTTTTACGCAGTGAACGCTCTGGGGTCTGGGAACAGAACATTTCCAGACTGCAGACACCCTGTCCCTGGTACTGTCTCTCTAGTGACGACCCCCCACTCCAGGGTAATCACGACCTTGACACTAAAGGACAACGAACTCAGTCTGGCTTTGTACTTTACAGGAAGGGAATGGTATAGCGTGAATCTTTCCTGTCTTTTCACTTAATATTCTATTTGTGGTACTTGCCCAAGTTGTTGTGTGTGTAGTTGTAGATTGTTGATTATTGTCACTCTTTATTTTTTTTAAGATTTATTCATTTATTTTAGAGGGAGAGAGAGAGAGCACATGAGGGCGGGGGGGTGGTGAGAGGCAGAGGGTGAGGAAGAGAGAGAATCCCAAGCAGACGCCTGGCTGAGCACAGAGCCTGATGCAGGGCTCAATCCCATGACCCTGAGATCATGACCTGAGCCGAAGTCAGGAGTCGGAGGCTCAGCCCACTGAGCCACCCAGTGTGCCCAATTTTACCACTCTTTAGTATCCCTTTGTGTGACTGTGCCAGTTTCCTTTACCTGTTCTACTATGAATGGACATTTGGTTGGTTTCCCTTTGGGGGCTATTATAGTAGTACTGCTAGGAACATTCTAGTGACGTTGTATTACGCGTGCTTTTCTTTGCAGGAGTGTAATGGGAGACTCCTAGCGTAGGTGTATGCTCGGCTTTAATAGAAACTGACAATTTTCCATAGGGATTGTACCAGATGACTCTCCTACAAGCAATGTATGAGAGTCCCCATTCGTTCACAGCCTCATCAGCACGTTGTTCTTCCGGCTGTTCTGGTGGGTGTGTAGTGGCATTGTGTTATGGTCTTGCCTTTCCCTGATGACCAATTACAACACTGTTTTCCATGTTATATTCTTATGGTTGTTTCACGATTTCTCTGAAGTATCCCCCATTATGGAGTACATATGTTATTTGAAATAACACAGTGATAAACGCCTTTGTAGTTAAGGATTTTTGCACTTCTTATGTCTTTGAGAGAAATTCCTAGAACTGGCATTACTGGTTCAGAAATGATGATCCTTGGACGCCTGGGTGGCTCAGCGGGTTAAAGCCTCTACTTTCAGCTCAGGTCATGATCTCAGGGTCCTGGGATCGAGTCCCGCATCAGGCTCTCTGCTCAGCAGGGAGCCTGCTTCCTCCCCTCTCTCTCTGCCTGCCTCTCTGCCTACTTGTGATCTCTCTCTGTCAAATAAATGAATAAAATCTTTAAAAAAAAAAAAAGATGATCCTTAAGTCTTTGGAGACATGTGGCCCTGCAGAGGGACGAGGTTGGTCACAGGCTTACCAGCCCAGCAGACACAGCTTGTTTTCCCAGTCCTAACCAGTGTGGGGCCCAGCCATGAGGGTGACCTGGCTCTCCAGAGCTTTAAACATTATTCAGCAAATGTTGATGGCCAAGGGGGAAGATACCATTGGTGCCTGCCTCCCGTGCCTCAGGGGGACGCAGCCTTCCTCCCCTTTGGTGTCTGTCAGGATGAATTATCATGCCGTGACCTGTCCTTTTCACCTCCCGAGGGACCTTTCCGTGACCTGCCTTTCTGTGTGTACCTCTTCCTACTCAGTGCTTTTCTGAGCAGATAACCAGGGACAATATAGTGTTTGAGGATTCGCAGAGATCTGGATTCAAATCCTGGTTCTGCCTCTTACCAGGGAAAAATTATTCTACCTCTCTGGCCCCCAGTCTCCACTCTAAAGTGAGAAACTCACATGTTTGCAGGGAGAACACATTAAAGGAAGAGAAGCTGACTAAGTTCCTGGCCCAACTTTGCAGAAGATGATGCTCAAATGGCCGTAAAGCATTCCTTAGCTGCCGGGGAACTATATATCAAAACCGCAGTGAGATACTATTGCTGAAAGACTAAAATTAAAGACTGACAAAATCAAAGTTAGCAAAAACGAAGAGCAGCCAGAACCAGCGTGGCTTGCTGGTGGGGGTAAAATGGGTGGAACCACTCTGGAAAACTGGAAGTTTCTACTGAAGCTAAACGTATGTGTAGCCCGGGACTCAGCATGTCCACCCCTAGGAAGATACACAGTAGAAATACATCCATGTGTGTACAAAAGACTCAGACAAGAGTGTTCTCTGGCAGCTTTATTCATCATAGCTCAAAGCTAGAAATTGGCCCAAACCAAAAGTCCATCAGTAGCAGAAGTATTCTGGGATGATTACACAATGGAATACTATACAGCCATGAAAAGGACACGTTCCTGTAGACACAGGTGACACTCACCAACAATGCTGGGCAAAAGAAGCCAAGCATAAAAAAAGACATGCCATCTGGTTTTATGTATATGAGGGCCCCAAACAAGATAATAGGAATCTTGCAGAAGCCAAGAGAGTGGTTTTCATTAAGGGAGATCAAGACTAGGAGGGAGCATGGAGGTCTTCCAGGAGCCAGAATGTTCTAGATCTTGATCTGGGTAGTGGTTCCATCAGTGTATGCATATACAAAAGTTCAGCAGGCTATAAATTTAAGATGTGGGCCATTACTGCTTGGAAGTTACACTGCAATGAAGAAGAAGAAACATAAAGTAGCTGGCCTAGTGCTCAAGAAGTAGGAGGGGCACCTGGGTGGCTTAGTGGGTTAGAGCCTCTGCCTTCGGCTCAGGGCATGATCCCAGGTGGGATCGAGCCCCACATCGGGCCCTCTGCTCAGCAGGGAACCTGCTACACCTACCCCCCGCCACCTACCTCTCTGCCTACTTGTGATCTCTCTGTCAAAAAAAAAAAAAAGAAGAAGAAGAAGTAGGAAATTGAAATATTCCTATGCTCATTACCCATTCCCTGCCTGTTATCAATCATAAATCTTGGTACATAATATTTGCTCAGTTTGGGCTCTTTGTTCTCTCCCCACCCCTGACGTCGATCGCAGGATCTCTGTCTGTGATGAGGACAAATTTGGCCATAACGAGTTTATCGGTGAGACCAGATTTTCACTCAAGAAACTGAAGCCTAACCAGAGGAAGAACTTCAATATCTGTCTGGAGCGGGTGATCCCGGTGAGCACCTTTGCCCCGAGGGCGCGATGGGAGGGAAGGATTTGGGGGCTGGGGGCCTTCCTCTGGGCCTGCAAAGGGGGTGATCTGCAGGGTGCCCGACAGGAGAGGCGAGAGGGAGATTTCAGATCAGAGCATGGGGGTTGGCATCCCAGCTCTGCCTTTTACCAACACTGTGTTGGTATCACTTCTGACCGCGGAATCCTCCGTGGTGAAACTGGGAAGAGCAGTGTGCTACGGCAGGGTGGCCTGCCTGGGTTCAAACCCAGCTCTGCCACTTCCCTCTTCCCCAGCCTTGGCCAAGAGTCTGAACTCTCCTGAGCCTCCGTTTTTCTTGTCTACCAAATGGGCTTTCTAACAGTACCTGCGCCAGAGGAGGGTTGCATGAAAGATAGAATCAGGGCAGAACCTAGTGTCTAATAAGCACTCATAAATTAACTGTGTGTTATTGTGGAAAATAATGCTGACTGACCCACTTGTCGGTCACGAGTTCATAAAGCACCGCACAGAGCGACAGGAGACAAGGTCACGTACTGCTTAAGAGCACGGGCTCTGGAGCCAGACTCCCTGGGTCTGAATCTCAGGCTTTGCCACATATTATTTATTTAACTTCTTTTTTAACCACATTATTTATTTTATTTTTTTAATTTTATTATTTTATTTATTTATTTCTATTTTACTTTATTTTACCAAATTACTTAACCTCTCTAGGCCTTAGTTTTCTCATCTGCAAAATGGAATCCTGTAGTAAGTACCAGCTTCATAAGGTCCTTTAAGGATTAGTGTGTGATCCCATATACAGCGTCGGAGCTATGACCCCTCGGTGTGGCACTCACCTTTTAGGACAGAACAGGAACTGCACCCAGGTTCTCCAGTTGGGCCATACCTCGGAATCAACTGGAGATTTTTATTTTTCTTTTTTAAAGTTTAATGTATTTTAATAACAAACTTACAGGAACAGCACAAGAGACAGACAACATTAAAAACATGTATTTGCAGGCAGGACAACTCAATTAGGAGAGTATAGTGACGATCTATCCCGTCACCGGGATCCACTGTATGACAAAAATGCCACAAACTCCAATTAGCTGCCATCGATAGGAAATTTCCTTGTTTGAAAAACAAAAACAAACAACCAAAAAAACAAATGCTGGCATTGTCCAGAAAAAATGTAGCTGGTTTATTGATCATGGTTATAACGTTGAACCTGCTGAGAGCTGTCCACACGTACTAACTTGCATTCATGCCTTAGGTCCCCACATTTGTTAAAAACTCACACACAGATGAAAACAGAAACCGTGCCAATACCTGACTTCTGTCCCGTTTTTCCGCTGGCAGTCATCACTTAGGTACCTTTTGACTCCAGGGAAGAAAAAATACCTAATTTTCAGAACTACCTATAACAGGAAGACTTTTTTTTCTTTTTTTTTTAAAGAATGAAATGTTTTCCCTCCTAGTGGAGTCTCAAGGACGTTTCCACGTGTGCGGCATGCTCGCAGGATGTCTCTGGCACAGTTGTTACACGTTTGGCATGGAGACCACACACACTGGTGTCTTTATAAAGACCCCACAGGGAGGCCTCCCTAGCCTCCTGCAAAGCCCCCAGAGCTGTACTCTGGACACGCAGATCAGTTTTGCAGTCCTGAGCACCTGCCCGCCCCAGACGTTACAAAGGAAGTTTTGTGCATCCAAAGTTCAGCGCATTTCTGATAATGTCTGATTTCATGGCATCAGGCCTGTAACGATGAGGTTTCTTCAGCCCTTTGGTAGAGGGTGTGGTCCGGTGGGCTGTGGGAGCCCCAGCCCCGGAGACCTCCTCACTTCCCCTCCTTCCCTGTGGCTGCTGCTGCCAGAGACGGAGGCGCTGGCACTGGAGTTAGCGAGCGAGAGATGGTGTGGCCCAGCAGCCGCGGCAAACACAGTTCCCAACTCAAGGTTTTTAAACCAGAGCTTTACAGACTCAGGTCCGTGGGGGTCTCCCTGGAGATCCTGACTTAGTGAGGTACAGTGGGACCCAGCCATCTATTTTCAGAGATAATCAAATCGGCCCCTTTTACCTATCGGCCACCTTGGGCCCAGAGAGGGGAGCAGGCAGCCAAGGTCACACCGCAAGTCAGTGGCTGTGCTCTCAGGTATCGGCCAGAGCCCAGCCCTCCGGCAGTCACCAGGGTGCCTGCTCCCCTGGGCAGCAGGCCAGCTCCCCGTGGGGATGCCATCACGGGCAGGAGGGGAAATCCTGCAGCAGCCTCCCACCAGATGGCCGGCTGGAGGATGGAGTATCTGTGTGCCACACCATCTTTGTATAGCACTGGCGAAAGAACAAGACACAACAAGGAAAATTGCAAGGAGCAACTTACACCAAGTGTCAGGCTCCAAATAAATCATTACAGGCAATCCTAAGAGTGAGGCGTTTCCTCTGGGTCTTTTCCTTTGACAGCTGCTTCTTCCGGCGCCCTCTTCCATCCCTCACCTAGTGAGTCCTGTTGGTCAGGACTGCGGCCAGGCCCCCATCTGGGTTTTCAGCTCCGGAGTTTGCCTTTCTTGCCGTGAGGGATGCAACCAGCCCCAGAGGCACAAAGGAGGAAGGACAGGCAGAGGCCCAGAGTAGCCACAGGACCCTCCTGATCATCTTGTGTTCTTTGCCCTTAACCATCCCACTACCAGTTACCGCCATATGCCTCACCAAGGGCAGGGGCCTCATCAGTGCCTCCCCTCCCCTCTGGATCCCAGTTTTCCTTATCCCCTAAAGTGGGGAGGTTGGACTCAGCCGGGGGTTTTCACATAGTGTTCCCAGAGTGCTAGAATCCCACAAAAGGACCTTAGGAGCCACAGGGGAAGAAGTACCCAGTGGCTCAGGCCCCAAAACCCCTATGCCACTTCTGTCAGAGAGATGAAAGCTTACCTGTTTTGTGTATGTTGCGGGGGCGGGGGGTCCTGCCACTTGGTGGCTGTGTGACCTTGGGCAAGTAGCTTAACCACTCTGATCCTCAGTGTCCTCCTCTGTAAAATGGGTTAGTAATATACCCTATATCATAGGCTGGTGTGCATTCACATGGTCTGTCAAATGGTTAATGTTATATAAGTTTTATCTAAAAGGGAAAGAGCTGGAGGGCCATAGCTTGGAGGGCCCACCCTCACGGGTCTGGATGCTGATGGAAGGGTGAGGGTTTTCTGGTCCTTCTTATGCAGGGAGATGAGCCTCACAGACTCATGTTATCTTTCCTTTCTGTTTCCTTCCTCTAAGATGAAGCGTGCTGGAACCACTGGGTCAGCCCGAGGCATGGCCCTTTATGAGGAAGAGGTGAGCACTGAGTGGGTATGGAAGCCACAGTCGGGGTCCACCATCTCTTTCCTCTCTTGCCTAGCATCTTCCTTTTTTCTCCTAAAACCACTTGCCTGTCGGTTTACCACAAGAGGGGTACCCTTGTGCCCGAGGCATTAGAACACAAGACCCAGGGGATACTTCTCCCACCTGGAGCCCCCACCTTGCACGGGGGCCCCACCCTCTCACCCCCAGGACACACCCTCGAGTTCCCCTGTTTGTTGGTTAAGTTCTGCTGGCAGTTCTGCAGGACCAGAGCGATGTCACTCTCCCTCTGTCCATGGGGACGTGGAGGCTGGGGTTGGACTACACCTCTGCACTCTTTGCCCGGGTCCCTCATGCCACCCCAGGGACTCTAATTGTGAGAAGACTGGTTGACTGCAGCAAATCTGAACTCAGTCAGACTGGAAGCAGGGTCCAGCCCCACCTATGGTCACCCAGGGCGCTGTCCATGTCTAAGTAAAGTTCCCGCCCTCATGTGCCTTGGACTTTCTCCCATGTTGGTATCACTGCTTGCTGGGCCCTGGAGACCAGGGGGCGTCTGCTGTCCAGTGCTGAGCACACTGGGGAGGACCAGCACTTCCTCCTCTCTATAGACTCCTCCCTAACGCTAGCCATCCATCCAGTCGCCTGGCCCCCTCCCCTTCCTAGACTCTTATACCCTCTTCTATTGCAGCAGGTGGAACGTATTGGTGACATAGAGGAACGTGGCAAGATCCTGGTGTCTCTCATGTACAGCACACAGCAGGGAGGCCTCATTGTGGGCATCATACGCTGCGTGCACCTGGCCGCCATGGACGCCAATGGCTACTCAGATCCATTCGTCAAGCTGTGAGTCACTGGGACTGTGAGTGGGCCCCAGAGGGGGTCCTAGATCCTTGCAAAGGGAGAACTAGAGAGCTTCCCCAAGATGATTGAACACTGGGGCCCAGAGAAGGAAATTAGCCTGTCCAAGGTCATACCGTGAGATGGTGCGCAGAACTGGCTAGAGTGTGACTCTGGCATCTCAGACGGTCAGATTGGTGAGTCACATGCCCATATGAGGGGTTTTGTGGCTCTGTCCCCTCCAGTGGGACAAAGGCAGTCGGCAGCGTTGCAGTGACCCCATTTGGAGCCCCCTTGAATCAGCAACATGTCCCTCCAGCAGTCCAGAGCCCCACCGCCAAAGAAGCAATCCAGCTTTTTCCAGTGCAAATCTGGAAATGTTTAAAGAAAAGACCTTAGACTTTGAGTTATTCCCAGAAACTCCACCATGGGGAGTCAGAGAGTCGTGTTATCTGCGTTAGTGCGGAGCCTCTGGAATGATGCCAAGATGGGGTTCAACAGACCAGGGCTTCCCTAGCGGCAATGCCTGAGGCAGGGAGACGGGAGAGCTGCTTGACCGCCATGCGAGTCTGACTCACGTGAGCAGAGGGGAGAGACGGGCCAGGGGAAGCATCGTGGATGCAACTTCAGCAAGGCCATCAGCGTCTTCAAGGCCCAAAGCAGCCACCAGACAAGTCCCATGTCTCCTAGGAACAGGACTCCCATAATATTCCTGCCAACTTCAGCCATCAGCCCAGAGCGGGGCCACGGCACAAACATGGCTAGGTTTCCAAGGGCAGCAGCCGAGACCTCGGTCAGCAGTGCTGTAGCTGGAGGTCCGCCCAGCACATCCTCACGGACACCACTGAATCAGACGTGGGTTCCACTCCCGTCTCTGCCAGCTGCCCGCTGTATAACTATAAGCAAGTTATCCTAACCTCGGATTCTTCCTGGGCACAGTGGAGACAGTAGTGCCACTTATGTCCAGGAATGGGCACAAGGCAAAAGGCTCAAATAAAATCTCACATAGAAAGCAATTCGAAATGTGCCTCGTACAGTAATATTTGGCCCACTCTCAGTAGACTTCTGCATTGCCTTGTGGCAGCTAAAGGTATGTTTCCATGGATATGATTGAAAGATTGGGCTCTGGATCCAGACTGCCTGGATTTGAATCTTAGAGCCCATAGTCTTCAATATTCTCTAGCTGTGTGACCTTTGGCTAGTGCCTTCCCATCTCTGGGCCTCAACGTCCTCATCTGTAAAATGGGAAGAGTAACATTGATCATTAGGTTCTGCCCTCCAAGAAGCAGACTCCAGGGCTAAATGAGATGCGCAGGAGATTTATTGGGGGAAAATGTCTGTGAGGGAAAATTGAGAGGGAGCCAGCGGAGGACCATACGGAAAGCAGGTGGGGTGAAGGAGGGGGCCGGGAGGATGGTTAGGCAGGAAGAATCTTAGATTGCAATACAGTTCTGACAAAGTTACAGCCCAGGTGATGGGGAATGCTTGAGCGCAAAATCGCTCTTTGCAGGAGCCCTGCGTCTCCCAGCAGTGGGACTGCCTGGTGGCCCTGCTGGCCCTGCTGGCCCAGGTGCTGGCTGGGAGCCCAGGACGAGTGCAGCCACGGCGAGAACACTGGGGTGAATTCAGAGCCCAGCCACCTTGTCAGTCCATTTTGCTCCCCCATGGCTGGATCTGAGAGGAGCATTGTCATGGGGTCTGGTACACAGTAGGTGCTCATTAAACACCTGCCATTCTGGTTCTAAATCACGACCCCTTCCGTTCCTCCCCGTGGCAGAGAGCGTTTGTTAATGTTCCCTCCAGCCCGGGAGAGGTTCCCTCCCCCGGCCTCCCTCTCATAATAGAAGGCAGTGCTCCCTTTAAGGTCATGGCTAAATAATCAGGCCAGAGTGGACTCTGCTTTGGATTTTCTTCGAATGAGGGTTTCGTGAACAGAAGAACCCATGAGTCAGGGATGAATTTGATTTCTAGGAGTAACTGGTTTTTGTTTTCTCATATGGGCCAATAAAGAAAATCAGCTCATGGGCCACTGTCCTGCACTCTGTTACATCCCAGCCACCGGCAAGCTGTTTTTCTTAAATAATTCTCCCTACCCCCACCTTCTTCCATCCCCCAATCACTGTGGAGGAAGGAACATTGCTGTGGTCACCCAGAAAACGGTTGCCCTGGTGGCCATCATGAATTCAGGCGCCCCTGAATTAAGATTTTTAAAATCAGAATTGCCCTTTATCTTTGTTCAGCACTTCATATTTTTCAGTCCCCGCTTTGTGTCCCTTCTTTAAAATTGTCCTCAAGGGGTGCCTGGGTGTCCTCGGGGTCCTGGGATGGAGCCCCACAGAGGGAATGGGGGTGGGCCCCCACCCCCCGCCTGCTCAGCAGGAAGCCTGTTTTTCCCTCTCCCTCTGCTGCTCCCCCTGCCTGTGTGCTCGCGTGCTCTCTCTCTCAAATAAGTAAATAATTAAAAATAAAACAAAATAATAAAATTGTCCTCAAGGGCAGTAGGAGGTACAGGCTTTCAGTTGTGGAATGAATAAGTCACAGGGGTAAAGGCACAGCAGAGGGAATATCATCAGTAGCTTTCCAGTAGTGTTGCATGGTGACAGATGGTGACTACCCTTGTGGGGAGCGCTTGTCAAGTCACTGTGTGTATGCCTGAAACTAATGTAACACTGTCCACTATGCTTCAATAAAAATTAATAAATAAAATAAATTATCCTCAAAAGCAGTTCTGCAAATGAAGGAAAAAAATGTTTGCCCTCTTTGCAGATTGAGAACCTGAGGCATGCTGAAGCTACACTTAGGTTCAAAGTTGCACAGCTAGTGACAGCTTTTTTTTTTTTAAAGATTTTATTTATTTGTTTCACAGAGATCACAAGTAGGCAGAGAGACAGGCAGAGAAAGAGGAGGAAGCAGGCTCCCCGCTGAGCAGAGAGCCCCATGCGGGGCTCGATCCCAGGACCCTGGGATCATGACCTGAGCCGAAGACAGAGGCTTAACCCACTGAGCCACACAGACACCCCATAGTGACAGCTTTAATGAGAGTCCAAGTGTCCCAACAATTAGGAGCTTTTGGCCCATCTTACTTATTTGTCCAGAAAATACTGGTTGAGCACCTACTATGTGCCAGGCATTGTGCTTACACTAGGGAAGAGCTGTCTAAGCAGAGGAAATGGTATGTGCAAAGGCCCTGAGGTGGAAAGGAGAGTGAATGGGGAGTGAGGGGAAGAGCATAGCATAAGAGCAGGCTGGGCGAGAGCAAGGACCCAATCATATAGAGCTTTAAAAGCTCCATCAAGGAATTTGAACTTTACCCTAAGGTCCAAGGGGAGCCACTGAATAGTTTTGAGGAGGACTGATTGTAATCAGATTTGCATCTTCTCCTTTCTGTGTATACAGTCACCGCCTCCCCAGGACTTGGGGGCAGCCTAAGGGGTAATTGTGCCACTCTAGGCACCACCATCCAGGCTTTCAATCTGACCCCTTGGGACTGAGTACTAGCTAAGAGGCGAGCGCTGGGTTGGTTCCGAGCTGTGTGACCTGAGGCACATGTCTCAACTTGTCTGAATGCTCAGTTTCCTTGCATGTGAAATGGGGGATTGTAATCTTACCCATGAGGGTTTGTTGAGAATGAACTATCCCACAGGTCCTTAGTGCGGTGCCTGGCAGCTCTGCTCCAACACACATCGATGTTGTTAATGTCGATTCACATCCTGATTTGTGCAGTGATTTTCCGGGCACGGGAGGGAGCCTTTGGGGTCAAGAGGCTGATCTTATTCATTAAACTTCCCTCGCAATAGCATCTCTGTCTCCTCTCAGCTGGCTGAAACCGGACATGGGAAAGAAAGCCAAACACAAGACTCAAATAAAGAAGAAGACCTTGAACCCTGAGTTTAATGAGGTAAGGCTGCCCCTCTTTTGTCAGGCTCTGGGATATTTCCCGTGTGTGAAGCAGGAACAAGCTCCCTACTAGAATGTTATAATTCACATCAAAACAGTTTTCTGTTGCGGCGCCTGGGTGGTGTAGTCAGTTGAGCATCTGACTCAGTTTCAGCTCAGGTCACGATCTCATGGTTGTGGGATCGAGCCCTGTGTCAGCTCCCTGCTCAGTGTGGAGTCTGCTTCAGATTCTTTCTCCCTCTCTGTTGCCCCTCTACCCCTCCCTGTTCATGCTCTCTCTCTCTCTCTAAAATGAATAAATAAAATATTTTTTAAAAAAACCTTTCACTTATAGGTCCACTTGAATTATTTAAAGGATAGGTAATGAGTTCCTTGTCACCAGAGGGAATCAAGCCTAAGACAAAAGCCTATAGATTAGGCATGTCATAGGAAGACGCTGCATTTGGAGACAGACTGAATGAAATCATGTCCGAGGTCTAGTAGTCTATGGTCCTGAAATTTGAGGAAATAAATAGGGATAGTGATGCCTTTTACCAGTCACTCAGTTGGCACTGCCCCGACTCTGTCCCTCACTCCCCATGTCCATCCTGGGTATCAGGCCCTACTAAGGCCCCTATCTACGTACTGTGCCCCTTCATGTTGTCTCACTGTCACTTGTCAGGCATTTCACATCTGGACTATTGCAGTAGACTCCTGACTCCCTTCCTCGTGTTTGGCCCATCCTCATATAAGCATGAGCTTTCTGAAGAATGAATCTGAATTTTTCTTCCCCATTGCTTAACCCAGCAGTGGCTCCTTAACTTCTTCGTGTGACAGTCAAGCCCTTTCAAACTCACGTCCCATCCCTTCCCCATCTCACCCTCCCCTCCTCAAGTCACCCTAACTTCGCGCGGGTCCTTGGTACATCTCTTAGCCTTTGCGCCTGCTGCTCCCTTTTCCTGGACTTCCGTCTCTCTCCCTCTCCCTCTCTGGAAGACTCCTAGTCATCCCTTAAGAGTCAATGTGTTAAAACCCTGCAGGGCTCACGTGTTCCCGCATGTCATGCTGTCCCCTGGATTTCTGTTATTTGTTGACAAGCGGTCAGATCCTAGGGGTCCAGAAATATCTGTTGAATGTAACGATCTGACATCAGATCAGAGTCAGCTGGCATTGTTTTTTACCCAAATGTTGGAAAGTGGGCCAAGAAAACTATAACACAGTGTGCTTTGTGCTCATTTTGCTTTTGAAATGCATGTGCCCGTATGAGTGTGCATGGAGAATATTCTTTGTAAACAGAGCTCAGAGCATCCTATCCCCAGGTCCCTCTTTCAGCTGGACCCCTCATGTCCCAACTCTGACTCCTGAATTTTGAGTAAGGAGCCAATGACTGCTCTCCTGTCCTACCCGCTCCTGGAGTCTGAACAAGTCACTAAAGTAGAAATCCAAAGAGCCAGTAAGCCTCATTAGCAATAGAGAAGATAGGAAACAAGGTCAGACACCAGATCTCATCACAAACAGGCACAAAAATATTATAAAATGTTGGTACCCGGTGTTGGTGAGCCTGTGGGGAAATGTATGCATCATGGGTAAGAGACCAAACTGGTCCAACTTCCTAAAGGATGTTTGTCAAACTGTTGTCAAAATGTCCAAAATCCTTAACATTTTATAATTTAAATATCATTTATTTGAGGAACAGGTGATATAGTCACATATCTGAAAATTCCAAAAGTACCAAGGGATGTCCAGTCAATAATCCTCCTCCTTTCCCAGCCTCTATCACCTACTTCTCTTCTTCTGAAGGAGCTATACTATCCACTTCCAGGATTTATAAACATACTGGACAAACATGCATAGGGCCGGCTTTCTTACTGGCCACAAACGGCATCGTGGTGTGCGTTGCTGTTCTCTTAGAACCTTACAAACTCAGAGATACATGTCTCAGAATCTATCCTGAATAAGTTATCATGGATTTGCACAATGACTGAGTTGCAAGTGTGCCTTTCATCCAATCATTAATGGTAGCGGAAAGTTGGAAACAACGTCAGTACTCCACTGTTGAGCATTAGGTTAGGGACAGTGACCTAAGCATTACAGGAAACCAGAAAGATATTTGCTAATGTGCTAAGCTGGTTTTTTACGACGTGTTATAAAATGGGAAAATAAGGCTCTCACAATGCAGCATATTCATATTATACTTTACATAATATTCAAATGTTTCATGTAATATTCAAATTAATATTCATGTTGACTTTTGAAAACATACATTAATGTGGTCGCACATGCAAAATGTTGACAGTGGCTATTCTGGGGTAGTTAGATGACAGGCTTTGGGGGTTGGGTTTTTTTAAATTTTATTTTAGCTTCCTCCTTTGTTTTAATGATGAACATGAATGGGGGCACCTGGGTGGTTCAGGAGGCTAAAGCCTCTGCCTTTGGCTCAGGTCATGATCCTGGGTCCTGGGATCGAGCCCCACATCGGGCTCTCTGCTCGGCAGGGAGCCTGCTTCCCTCTCTCTCTCTACCTGCCTTTCTGCCTACTTGTGATCTCTCTCTGTCAAATAAATAAATTTTTAAAAATCTTAAAAAAAACAATGAACATGAATGCATTTTACAGTTAGGCAGAAAAGTGATGTAAAGTCTGGAAACCCCAGCCTCTGTCCTTCATGTCAGTCTCAGGGTCCTTGACTACCCTTAATTTGTAAATGACGTAGAGAGGAAAATCCACTTCAGAAGCAACCAGAACAGAAGGACTGAATTCAGGGCCATTTGCCTTTAAGGAAACCTGACCAGGAGCAGCTCTCTTAGAAAAACCCCATCAGCCATCCTGATTTTAGAGAGTCACTGAAATGTGAATCATGGGTTTTGAGAGACTTTGTTATACAGAGTGTTGAAAAGGGATTGTCAGTCCTGGGGTAAAGGCTCCAGCTGGAGGGTCCCCTTGCTCCCAAGTGCTGGGTTCAAGGGCCTCCCCTTGGTCCCTGAATCCCTAGGGCTCATCCCCTTAGCTTCTAATGGCGAAGGCTCAGGGCCCTCCCACTCACCTGTCTTTCTCTGCTGCATCCAGGAGTTTTTCTATGACATCAAACATAGTGACCTGGCAAAGAAGTCCTTGGACATCTCGGTCTGGGACTATGACATCGGCAAGTCCAACGATTACATCGGTGAGTGCTCCCGACTCCCAGAGAAAAGCTCCTCCTCCCCGGAGAGAAGAGCCTTGGGGATCCAGGCTTCTCTTAGAGGGTTCAGGGCTCTCCCTGTCTTCTGGTGGCCATTTCATCCAAACACCACCTCGGGACCCAGGGTACATCTGGGTCCAATTTGGGGATGCTTTTATAGGAAAGGGCTTACGAAGCTGGGCGACTGGGTCATGACTGGTTATTTGCTGAACAGGTAACCAAATCACAGAGGAGAGTGGGGTCTGTGGCCCCCAAAAATAGGGTACAAAGGAAGTCCCCTTAATTCGTGAGGCCTGGAGGAAGGTTCTAGTTTTCCCAGCCCCCCTTCCAATGATGAGGAAGATCATTCATGAAGGGTGAAGCAGGGAGGGCACTCCAGGCAAGGGACAGAGCATAAGCCAAGGGGTGGAGGCAGGACTGGACAGGGTGGCCGAGCTGACCCTTTGGAAATAGACGAGGGGTACCCAGAAGTAGTGGGAGACAAGTTTCAGTGAGTGGGGTGGTGACTTACAGAAGGTCTTAAAAAAATGGGACAGTGGGGGCACCTGGGTGGCTCAGTGGGTTAAAGCCTCTGCCTTCAGCTCGGGTCATGGTCCCAGGGTCCTGGGATCGAGACCCGCGTCAGGCTCTCTGCTGAGCAGGGAGCCTGCTTCCTCCTCTCTCTCTCTGCCTGCCTCTCTGCCTACTTGTGATCTGTCTGTCAAATAAATAAATAAAATCTTTAAAAAAAAAAAAAGGGACAGTGAAGCTACCACATGGTGCTCCCATAGGGAGCCATGGTGGGCTCCTGAGTAGCTGGTGTGCGGGCAGAGAAGGCCCGTAGTAACAACGTCATCACAACAGCCCTCCGTAGAGAAAGACCCCAGGTTGCTGGAGGGGTCAGTGCTTGCCGGCAGCTTTCCCCCAGCTAGACATTAGGATCCAGAACGAGAGTCCCATGCGCCCCTCCACTCTGACCGCCTGCCTCTGTCTCCCCATCTTGCCCTCCAGGGGGCTGCCAGCTGGGGATCTCGGCCAAGGGAGAACGCTTGAAACACTGGTATGAGTGTCTGAAAAACAAGGACAAGAAGATTGAGCGCTGGCACCAGCTACAGAATGAGAACCACGTGTCGAGCGATTAGGATGGGCCTCCAGGTCCCCAGCTCCATGCCCCACCCCGTGCCAGGTCACCCGCCAGCCTGACCCTGCCGCCCTTCGCACTCTGGCCTCTCTTCTCTCTGCCTCCCCCACCTCCCTCCCTCCCCAAGCCTGCCTTTGAGGTGCCCCCGACCTTGGGCACTGCTGCCAAAGACCTTTCTCCTCCGTCTGCGATGCTGTGGTGCCGGGCCTGACTGCAGCCCCTCTCTGGTCCCTCCAGGATGGAGCAGGAGGGAGAGGAAGGCGGAGATTTGTACAAGGAGGCTGGAATTTAACAACCTTTCTGTCTGGGGAAACTACAAAGGTTCTTCATCATTTAGGACTGTTTTTAGAACCTCCTGGCCTTGAACGCACACACACACACACACACACACACACACACACACCCTGCAACCCTGCATTTCCTGGGTCGTGTCTGTGTATACCCTCAGCTGGTCAGCAGACTAGAACCAGGCTGCGAGGGCCAGCACTGGGGCAAAGATAGAACCTCCAGGCCTCTGCTGCCCCTCCACGCCACACGCCCCGATTGCCAGGAAGACAGACCACCGAGCTTAAACTCCCCGGTGACTAGGAACAGACTCTCCTGGCCCCAAATGCATCCAGAAATGGACACGCAGAACACACAAAGGGGCTTAGTAGCCTCCTCTTTCAGGATGCCCCCTCTGTTTGCTTCCTAGCAGAACCCAACACCCTTTCTCTAGTGCCCCCCCACCATCCCCCTCCCCCTCCTGCCCTCCTCCCTCCCTAACCCTACATCCCATCAAACTCTCTTTCTCTGCTCCTCACCCTCCTCTCTCCTTGTCCATCTCTCTCCCAGTCTCCTTTTCCTCTTTCTAAGAGGGTTCAATAGCAACAGCAAAAAATACCTTAAGCCAGCCTCACCCCCTCCCCGGCTTGGCCAGCAAACTCAAACTGGCCCCCCCGCTTGGAGTTCCATTTAGGCCCCCGTGCTTCTCAACCCCCGCCCATGTCTCCTGGTGGCGGAACCAAGGGGTCCCCCGCCCCACGCTGGGCCTGCTGCTGGTGCTGTCCCAGGAGCATGGTGGCCTCCCGCCAGCTGTGTAGATGCCCCTTAGTGGGCTTCCTCGGCCCCTGGGCTCCCCAAGTAGGTGCAAAAGGCAGTTAGAAACCAGAGCTCTGGGTCTGGGTGGGGGCGGGGGCTCTCCAAAGCCCCCAGCCTTCCCCCTCCCTCTGCTCTTAGTTAAGTAAACACTCTGCTCTGTCCGTCCCTGGCGCTCTCTGCTTCTCTGAATCCCCGAGCCCTGTCTCTCAGGCAGAATCACCTTGAATGTCTCTGTCCGTGATGCTGTCTCAGTCTGTCTGTCTCCTGCACCCTTTCACCAAGTTTGTTGGGAGCATAAGATATCATTGTGAAGGTGCAGCTTCGGAGAGTGACAGATCCTGACGCCAATGGCCATAGTTCCATCATGAATCATTTGGGCTCTCTTCCCCCCCAAATTAAAAAAAAAAAAATAGTAAAAAGGAAGAAAAGGCGATGAGAATGAAGGTTACAAATGTGAGGCTGGGGTCAGGGCATCTGTCCCTGCCCCAAGAGAAAGGCTTGTTTTTCCCCGGTTTCCTTTGTCTTCCCCATGAAAATCACATCCCTCTGTCTGACAGCCCGTTGTCTATAGATGTCATCAGATGGACACGCAAACTCTCACTTTCTCCAAATGCACCTTTTAACCTTTCTCAGTCAATGCCCTCCGCCCTCAGCTCCCTGCACAACTCATCGGAAGACTCTGATTTCTTGCCTTGAATAACCATCTTCCAAACCCCAAGCTCTTCGCCTTCCCCAAGATGGCCAATGGCTTCCAGGCTGCCATCTTGCCCCCCAGCCCTGTCCCTCTGTCAGTCCCCGTGGCGCCCACTCTCGGCCCACCTCCTTCCCACGGTTCACCCCGAGGAGAAAGCATGCTAGCTGCATTGCTCAAGCCTGACGCTGGTGTTGGCGCTGGAATCAGCATGCAGCAAGCTCACGGTGTCCCCGGACTGGGCGCCTGCTGTCCATGACAAGTGTAACCCCTCCCTGCCTAGAATACACACACGCCCTCCAATGCATGCCGAACCGCCCACTGCCTTTCTTTGTGGTGATGTAGTCAAAAATAAAGTAGGACTATCCAGGAAAAGCTGGTGGCCTGGGTTTTTCCTTTCTGGTTTCTGGAAGTGCTTCCTCCCCATCAGGATACTTGATCCTATTTAGAGAGTCAGTGTTTAATGAGCATCTGCTATGTACCAGCCCTTGGGGTTTCGGCCATGGACAAGGCAGATGTGGTCTCTGTCCTGGTTGGCTGACCCCACACCCAGGTAGAAGAACGTTTTTTGCTGATGCCCACCCAATAGGGGGCCAGCATCTCTTCTCCCTTCTTCCTCAACCTTGGGGAAAATCCTGCATGGCATGAAATTAGGCAATGTCAAGATGCAAAGAGAGAAAAGAGCTGAATGAAGGCCAAGTTCTGTCGACTCACTTATCTGACAGAGGAATAATCCAAAGCCCAGGGCAGGGAACGACATGGCCAATGGCTCACGGCAGCAGTGCCAGAAAGGAGCTGTTTCACCGGACTCCTGATGCAATGTCCTTAACATCCTGGTTAATAATTATCACAGATCATCAATGTCTCCTTGATGTTCTAGCACCTTCCATCCTGCAAGGAGCCTTCACAGATGACCCTCACCAGTCCTGAGGGCTTAGTCCTATGGGCTAAGGAGCTAAGCAACTTCCCAGGGGGGTTCTTAATCTCGCCAAGACCTATCCCAAAAGTGTTTAAGCAATTTATCGGGAATGTTGGTTACTTCCCAGAAGGAATCATCAGTTTCATCCACCAGATGGCCAATTTAGAGAAAAGATCTTTTTCTTATGCCCAAAAGGGTGGTTCTCAATCTTAGGGAAGAAATAGGCCTATTAGAGTTGCCTGTAGAGATTTTCTTTTCAAACCACTCATGCTCTCCCTGCCACCCCACACCCAGACTCTAACTGTACACTGGGGACGAGATGTATATCTGAATATATTTCCTGGTTGATGCCTTGTGCCTCCCACCTCCCTCATGACTTTATCAACCACTATCCTAGTCCATCTGTTTTTCCTACGATTTAGCCAGCTGCCAGCAGGTGGAGAAAGGTACCAATTAGGGCCATGGAGTCCCATCCCCCACCTCCCCACTCACCCCGCCCAGCCCAAGGAGTGGCAGGAGGCACCGGTTCCCCTGTGCTCAGGGCAGACATCACTAATCTCTCCCCGCACTCATAGCAGACATTGCTAATCAATATGGCATCTTCCCCACAGAGCCTGCCAGCAGCCTCTGAATCCTTCTCAACAAAGCATTCTAGGCAGCCACCACCAGTCAGTCATGAACGGATGAAAAGAAAGCTAATATCCATCTCTAAAATGATTGATCTCCTTCCCCCAGGTATGTAGACATGCCAAAGAAGCCAAGATGAATATCCATGAGGAAAGTTTTCAAAACTATCGGTACGCCTGACTTGACTAATGATCTTTTTCTCCCTCGTTGAAATAAAGCACAATGCATGTGGCAATACAGTGGGGCTCAAAGCACCTGACGATAAAAAAAGCATGCCAGTTTTGTAATCAGTTCCGTCCAGCATTCAAATCCTGACCGGCACTCTCTAGATGTGCAAACTCACTTCTCAGACTTAGTTTCATCATCTGAAAAATGGGAACAACTAGGAATATTTCCAAGAGGTGAGACGAAGTTGCTGGGATCTGGTCTCCCACCAGGGCTGATGAAGGTGGGCCCCGGGAAAGGGGAAGGTCGAGGGATTGGGGGTGCTTGGTGAAATCAATACAAGTGGTTAAAAATGCTCTGTGCTGTGGAATCCACTGGGCTGGCCCCTCCTCTGCTGAATCAGGTTTGCCAGGGGTGTTGGCCTAACAAGGTTAAGTAATACATTTGAGCACCTTGGAAACACAAGTCACCGTGCACGTGTGGGACAATTATAGCTAACTTGGCCCTGGCCCAAACTTACTGTGTGACCTTGAGCACATCACTTGGCCTGCAACTCTTTAGGTAGGACATCAGAGTGTCATGATTAACGTGGTTGCCGAGACCCACAAATGTGCCTTAATTTCCTAATTGTTCAGTAAAGACCTAGACCTTTTTGCTGAGGGCAGGCCCCCTGCCTAGAGTCCTGCATTGTCTCTATTGCATAAAACACAAGAATTTCTTGTTGCTGTTTCTTCAAGAGGAACAATAAGTTAAAGCCATCTGCAAAACACGCTCTGTCATAATTCTGGATTTTTCCAATTGTTTCCTCAAACTTTTACAGTTGTGTTACTCTTACCCGATTTGATACAGTGTGTTGTGAAATTTGACTTTACTTCATCTTTCCAAAGATTTCAGTGTTGGTTTTCTAAGGGCGATTCTCTTTTATCCTCATGTTGGATCTGTTTATATGTATTTAGTCAACAGTATTATCCACCAAGAGAAGGGGAAGCAGTAAAAGAGAAGACGATAACTTCTTTGGGGTCTTTGAATTGCACTGCGGGGAGCACAGACCCGTGTAACTGCCTGGATGTGTCCCCTTGGGGAATGAGAGCCAGGAGTCTCCACTAGCAAACTGTGCAAGTATTAGGAAATGTACAGATGTAGTTTTCCAGAAATCGTGATTAGAAGATGAAATTACATGATACCATCCATCAGTCTTCTGAGTACATTAGGTCAGTTACTAGGAAAATATCTTTCACAGATACTTCACAGAATGGCCAGTTTTTATCCAGAATGCAAATGCAGCTGCCCTGTGCTCAGCAGCTCCTGTTTCAAAAAAACCAGGATGAGGGGTTGGTCCCCAAAATGGGAGTCTCTCATGTTCTGAGGTTTTACACAGGTTCACAGTATACATTTCATTGAAAAATGCAATTGCCAGAAAGCATTTGAGAGCAGAGAGAATCTTTGAAATTCACACAATCCAACTGGGAAGCAAAGTGCATGTCACCTAGAAAGATGACCCTCCTCTATGGTTACCTTTTCCCTTCCGCATAGGTCAACATGTTATACAGAAGGGGTGGGGAGTGGAGATGATTTGCTGGTCTGGTTAAAAGAAGGGTGGTTAAGGGGCACCTGGGTGGCTCAGTGGGTTAAGCCTCTGCCTTCGACTCAGGTCATGATCTCAGGGTCCTGGGATCGAGCCCCACATCGGGCTCTCTGCTCAGCAGGGAGCCTGCTTCCCCCTTTCTCTCTGCCTGCCTCTCTGCCTACTTGTGATCTCTCTCTGTCAAATAAATAAATAAATAAAATCTTCAAAAAAAAAAAAAAGAAGGGTGGTTAAGAAAGATAGCTAACAGGCATTTCTAGACTACACCGTCCAACCAAAACAGAAGACAAACTCTTCCCAAGGTCCTGTGGAATATCCACGAAGCTACACCACATTCTGAGGCCGTAAAACACACCCCTAGCAAATTCCGGAGCGTAGATGTCATACACAGTATGCACTCCACCACAGTGGGGTTAAGTGAGAAATCAATATAAGAAACATATCTGGAAAATTCCAAAGTCTTTGGAGATTCAACAGCACTTCTGACACATGGGTCAAAGAAGTCTCAAAAGAAACTTTAAAACATTCCGTGCTGGGGGCGCCTGGGTGGCTCAGTCAGGCGTCCAACTCTTGGTTTTTGGCTCAGGTCAGGATCTCAGGGTCCTGGGATTGAGCCTCTTGTGGGGCTCCACAGTGAGCAAGGAGTCTTCTTCAGAT